TTCTAGAAGAAAAGTAACAAAAGTTTTAGAGTTATATAATATGATAAAAGAAGATTCCTTAATTCCAACACCACAAACTTATGTATATATATTTGATGTTTTGGGAAAAGAGTCTACAAGTGATCAAATTGGTAATTATATATATATTTATATTAATTTTTAAAAATAAATTTTTTATCTATAAAATATTTATATATTAATAATCTTTATTATATATTAATAATCTTTTTTATTTTTAGAACTATTAAAAAAATTCAATAATGAAAAGAATAATTATAATATATCTTTCAATGACATCATTAATAAATCATATTTTAAAAATGATCAACAAGAAAATGTATTAAAAGCAATTAGGATATTAATACCAAACTTTAAACCTTTCTCTATAAATATAGATACAATGTACAATTGTAATCTTCTAAATCAAATTCCAATGTCAAATAATTATGAAAGTCCAGTGAAAAAATTATTAACTAATAATAAATTAAAAGATCTTTTAAAAATACAACTTCAAAATGAATTAGCAATTGAAGTACAGATACCAAGTATTAAAATAAATGAAAAAAATATAAATGCTGATGTAGTAAGATATTATTGTATAATACTTTATTATTTAATTTCAAATATATCTTTCTATTATTACTTATTACTTATTATAAATTTAATTATGATTTTATCTTCAAGATGTATATCAGTAATATCAGTTTTTTTTTTTATATATTAGAAGGAGAGAATTATGGAACTAGAAAATTATTGGAAAAAAGTAGCATTTACAGCTTTTGAAAAGAATTTAAAATGTTTAAAAGAAAAGGAATGCCAACAACATAATTTGATGGTTTTATATCCTTTTTTAGAAGTTTTGAATAAAGAACACTATATAAATGCTATATTGCGAGAAATTAGACAATTAGCCATAGGACCTGATACTTATAGTACATCTCTTAAATTATTATATGTAACAGTAGGAAAATATATTTATAGAAAATATGAGGTATGAAATTATTTTGATATATTTGTTAATAAAATATTTATGTATTTTATTTCAATTTTAATGCACATTAAATTTTTATTTTACAGATTGAAACAAAAAAAAAAGCTGGAATTATAGATAAAATAATTAGTATTTATTTAAAATATCTTGAATGGTATTTACATCCAGAAAATGAGGCATATTTAAATAATATGAATAATCGCACTATGTGGCAATATTTTAGATGTGAAGAAACAAAATATGATGAATCTTTAAATTCTATTTGTTTACAATGGCCTATAGATGTAATTACAAATATTGGTAAATTTTTATATAAAATTATTTTGAATGATATAATGCTTCAACCTGAGATGTTGAAAGGGCAAGATATAAAACATTCTATTCCTGCATTTTATACATTGTTTAGAAATAAAGGAAATTATTTATCAGAACAGGTTTGTATATGCAAATTAAATATTGAAATATTTGAAATTTTACAGCATCTGATATTGCTTTTTGAGAATAACAGATTTTATTTTTTGATTTGTAGAAATCAATACTTAGAAATTTTTTTCATATATAAAATTAAATATTATATAAATATTCTTTCAATAATTCATTTTTATATTACAGATTAAACCTCATCCTTTTTTATCAAAATTATATAAAAAATTGCATATAGAAACATTAACATTTGATGCACATTTTTTACCTTCTTATAGTCCACCAGTTCCATGGACTTCGATACATTCAGGAGGATATCTTATAACAAAAACCAACTTTATAAGATCTCCTAACATTGTAAGTTTTCTATTTCAATTTATTTTTTAAATATAATGTATAATATATAATATAATAAAAAAATGTTTATTATATTTATATAATGTATAATATTTTGAAGATTACTTTAATAATATATAATATATAAACATAATTTTCGTACTTGTTATTTAGGATTATCAATTTCAAACTACAAAATCTAATCAATTATTTCCTGTATTTGATTCATTAAATCAAGTTAGTTCTATTCCATGGAAAGTTAATACTGCTATACTCGATATTGTAATTAAGGTAAATTTCTATTATCTTATAATTGTTTAATAAATTATTATCAATAACAAATATTAAATATTATTATTATAAATAATTCTTATTTATATATTTTTATTCTATTTTTCATAATAAGATTTTTCAAGATGGTGGTTCTGTTGAATTAAATGTTCCTCAATCAGTTTCTGTATTATCTCCACCATGTCTCTTAAATAAAAATGCTACTATTGAAGAGAAGCAAAAAATAGCAATAGCTATAGCCCAATATAGACAAAAAAAGAATGATACGTATTCTTTATGGTGTGATACTCTTTATAAGCTATCTATTGCTAATCATGTATGTTATTTATTTTAATATAATAATTTATTTTTATTAAACTATTAATAATTAAATTATCATTATATTATTGAAATAGTTATATTAAGAATTTTAATTAATTCTTTAATTCTATATTCTATATTTTTAATTATTGTTAATTATAATTAATTTATTTTATTTTAATATTTTTACATATTTTCCTATTTTGTTTATGTGCATATGTATCTACATGTATATAATAATTATTCTTATTTTAAAGTTTAGAAATGAAATATTTTGGCTACCATATAATTTGGATTTTAGAGGAAGAGTTTATCCAATTCCTCCTTATTTAAATCATTTATCATCTGATTTGGGTCGTTCTTTGCTTTTATTTGCAAAGGGAAAACCTCTAGGACCAAATGGAATAAATTGGTTAAAATTACATGTTATTAATTTAACTAATTTTAAAAAGGGAAGTTCTCTTAAAGAACGTCTTGAATATGCAAATCAAAATATGGATAATATAATAGATAGTGCTACTAAACCTTTAACTGTAAGTTATTATTTAAAAAAAAAATTTTTTTTAACTTATTAAAAGATAAAATATATAAAATAATTTTAATTAGAATTAGTATTTGTATTGCGAAGGGTAAAATGTGGTGGAAGCAATCAGAAGAACCATGGCAAACTTTAGCTGGATGTATAGAAATAGCAAATGCATTAAAATCACCAAATATAGAAAAATATATAACTTCGTTTCCAGTACATCAAGATGGAAGTTGTAATGGACTGCAACATTATGCAGCTCTTGGTAAAGATCAAATTGGTGCAGAAAGTGTTAATTTATATCCATTTGATGTTCCAAAAGATGTATATTCTGAAGTTGTATCTATTGTAAGTTTTTACATATTTAAGATATTATGTTGATTTAAGATATTTAAGATATTATGTAAAAATGTAAATATTTTCAAGGAAAAAATATTCATTTATATTTTAGATTGAAAATCGACGACAAATTGATGCACAAAATAATGTTAAGGTTGCGCAATTATTAGAAGGATTTATAAAAAGAAAAATAATAAAACAAACAGTAATGACAACAGTGTATGGTGTAACAAAATATGGTGCAAAACATCAAATAGCAAGACAGTTACGAGGTATACATTTAATTATATTCTCTCTCTTTCTCTCTCTCTCTCTCTCTCTCTCTCTCTCTCTCTCTCTCTCTCTTCTCTCCTCCCCCTTCCTCCTCCTTCCTCCTTTTCCCTTCAACATACAGACGCAATAGATATATTTATTAAGCATTTTTATATTAATAAGTACTGTAATATTAATATTTTATGTAGATACACCAAATTTTCCACAAGAATATATTTGGCCTGCTAGTATTTATTTGACCGAATGTACATTTCACAGTTTAAGAAAAATGTTCAAAAGTGCAAGAGAAATTCAAGATTGGTTTACAGAATGTGCTCGGATTATTTCTTCTATATGTTGTGAAAATGTGGAATGGATTACTCCATTAGGTCTTCCTATTGTACAACCTTATATGAAGCAGAAATCAAATATATATATTAATAAAAATGGGTTAGTAAAAGTATATAGTTTATTTAATAAATATTATGTACTTCAAATTGATTTCATTGTTTAATATTTTAACATTTAGAAATAATATTTTTAAAAATGATTTTTTTTATATATATAGGAAATCTGATACAATAAAACAGCGGAATGCATTCGCACCAAATTTTATACATTCTTTAGATTCTACTCATATGATGCTTACTAGTTTACATTGCAATTCAAAAAATATTACTTTTGTCTCAGTACATGATTGCTTTTGGACTCATCCTTGCACTGTAGATGCTATGAACAAAGTAAGTAAAATTTAACTTTATAAATAAAATGAAAATAATTTATATTATTAAATTTTTTGTTTTCTTATATATGAATAATTATTATATTTTTTATAGATATGTAGAGAACAGTTTGTAGCTCTTCATTCTAATCCTATCCTTGAAGATTTAGGTAAATTTTTCATAAAACGATATTTATCAAATGATATTTATGAGTAAGTATTTACAATTTAATATTCACAAAAATAAAATATATATAGATTATATATTTATATTAATATTTTTATATTAATAGTTATATTATAAATAATATTTAATTTAAATAATTTCAGAAATCTAAAATCTAAAAATAATAATATAAAAAAAATACACAAATGTTTAACTAATATACCATCAAAAGGCACTTTTGACATTCATAACGTTTTGTCATCTACTTATTTTTTTAATTAAATTTTTAAAAATCTTAAATATTTTATGTATAATAATGATAAAAATAAATTATAATCTAAAATATAATTCTTATATTTCTTATATTTACCCTCTATTTTTAATATATTTTTAGAGGCATTAATTTAAATATCTATAAAATTATATTTTATTGGTATCAAATGTTATGATTATAATTATATATATGCTAAAATTAACAAATAAAACTGTTAAAATTTCAGTTCTTTAGATATATTTTAGATAATCTAAATATTTACATTTTTTTTTACAAAATTTTTTTTTTATAAATGATGAAACTTATATTAATAATTTATAAATAATTTATAAATAAATAAAAAATTTAAAAAACAATATTCATAATTCTTTATAAATATTGTTGAATTCTTATAAATTTTGGCAAAATAATAACTAATTTAAATAATAAATAAAAGTATTCATTTATAAATATTATGAAATTATTAAAATATTATAAATATGGTTGCCATCCATAATATAAACGACAAAGATTTATAGGATCATGAGCTTGTTGTATGAGTCTTTCAACTTGACCGGACACACTTGACATTAATCCTTCTTCAGTACCTTGTAGTTTTTGTTCTATTCTGAGAAGAGCTTTTTCTGCTGATTTATTAGTTGCTATAGAATCTATTAATAACAAATTTTTTTCTTAATATTAATATATTATAATTAATATTTTAATTTTATATTAATATTAAACTATTAATGTATATACAAGATGTCCCAAAAATATTGGAACATTTATTCATATATGAAAATTCCTAAGGTAATTTCAACATATTTCTTCGCAAAAACTTTCATTATGGCTTTGTTAACAAATTATTAACAAAAAACAGTTAATCATAAAGCGCGTAATCTTGTCGAGCCGCAATAATAGCATTCGCTATGTACTATCGATTGAACATGAACAAATCCAAGCAATATTATAGAAAATATGTTGAATATGTGTTGAATATTGATGTAATATATGAATATATGAATATATGTTTTATTAATAAAATATTATATCGAATTATATTATAAAAAAAACTATAATTCAACTTTCTCCAACATACGTATTTTGCTTGAATTTGTTCGTGTTCGTGCATCGCCAGCATGTAGCCTATAACTATTAAAAAAGAAAAAAAAATGAAAGTAGAAATTATATTTACATTGATTATTTTCAATTAATCTTGATGAAATTCCACTTTGTATATCATGTGCTTTAGCAGGTGTTATACTCCATTTAAATAATGGATCATATAAGAGAACTTGAAGTAATGTTATAATTATTTGTCTTTGATCACGTAATACTGTTAATGTTTTCTCACAACAATGTCTCATTGTACCTTCTACACCAGATACCCCCATTCCTACTTCAATATTTTGTGTAAGTCGAAATGGAATAGTTTCAGGAATTGGTAATACTTTTCCCTGTTCAAATGCTATACCTAATGAATTTAATAATATAATATAAAAATTCCATCATATTTATGGAATTGTATTATAAAAATTATATAATTCTATTTACCAAAATCAATATGAATTACTTCAGCAGTTGCTTGATCAATTAAGATATTATTTAAATGTCTATCTCCTAATCCTAAAATATATCCAGCCATTGATGTTGTTGCTATGCTATAAAAATATATGGATAAATAAAATTTATTAGTAATATAATATTTATATATTGTCATATATATGTCATTCAAATTATTAATAATGAAATTATTACCTGCGGGTATATGCTAATCTGCGTTCAAACCATGTTTCAGGTGATGGATATTTTTCAATAAAAAAATGATGCATCACTGGATGCATATGAGTACAGCAGTCCATAAATACTTTCAATTTTACTTCAGTTGATGATTTTCCTACAGCCTATAAGTAAAACATATTATATATATGTTTAAAATAAATTATCTTATAATAAATACATTTATTAAATATAAATATATATTTATTATAAGATATATACAAATAACCAAAATAACAATAAGTTATTATTAATTTTAAAATAAAATATTATTTAAGTATAATCTTACAGCTAATTTTTCTTTACAAAAATTTGCTGTATAGTCGTTAGGATAGTATTTCTTATGCAGTCCTGGTATATTATTTGAACCTATTAATACATTTATTATAGGTGTTGTATTATCACACCATTCAAGTATTCCTGACCTTTGTGTTAATGGTACAACCTAGATATACATAAATAAATATATAAAATAAATACTTAATATATTCAATATAATAAAATGAAAAAATATTTATTTAAAGAAATAATTTTAATTAATAATTAATAAATTATAATAAAGATAATAAAGAAAATGTTTAAAATATAAAGAATGTATTGATATTACCTTATAAGTTCTAATTGTTAATTTTCTACGTTTAGTATCTTTATAAGATTTTAATAATGTATTCATTACATTAAAAACTTGTTGCATTACAGCATCTTGTCGTAAATCATCTCTTCCCTAAATAAATATATATTTAAATAATTTAATCTTAAATATATTGAAGTCTAATATTTCATTAATATTTTATCAATATTCTATTAATATAATATTATACGAAAGAAATGCATATATTATTTATAAATATATATATTAAATGTATATATTATTAATTTTTAATAGAATCAAGTTTAATTTGATATTAGAATATTTATAGATTATATACTTTTATTAATTGATATCTTTGTATACCATCTGTACCAATACAAGTTAATTTTTTTGGAGTATTCACACCTCCAACAGTTTCATATGTTTCTATGTATTTAGTAATACCAATAATATTACTATAATTTTTATATGGTTTTACATTAATTGTCAATGTTGGTACAAATATATTTTCAAAATTTTTAATTTTTAAAATTTCTTGATTTCTTGGTATTTTTATTATACAACCTGCTATAAATAAAAAATATATTATAAATGATTTAAAATTGTTGTCAATATATCTTTTTATATGTAATGATATGTATAATTATATGTATAATAAGTATGTATGTAGTATGTAATAAAATATTTTCATTAAAGTACAATATACTTACATTTATTTGAAGTAGTTGGAAGATTGGCTAACATAACTAAAGCATGTGATAATTTTTCCATTTCTTGTAGAATTAAATTTGAATTTGTTAATTCTTTTAATAATCTTTGAGCTCCAAGAACTCTTGGTTCTAAAATTTTACCTTTTTTAAATGTAGTATAATCATAATCACCATATAAATTTTTTAATGCTAATAATACTGGTAATGTATGATGAGGATGCTCTAAAGCACAACGTTTCATAATAAAATATATTTTTTCAGAAAATTCATTAAAATCATCATTCATATGTGCTGCTAATTGTGGCACAAGTGGAATAAATTTAAAAGATGGTATTTTATTTAAATTTTCTTGCAATAAATTATTAATTTCTTTTTGGTGTATGTTATCTAACCAAAGTGCTATTACTCTAAATATTAATAAATTATAATTTTCACTTTGTTGTAATATGATTAAGTAATACCTAATTGAAAAGATAATTTTTATATTTTATATATAATAAATAAGTTAATATTACATAAAATTATATCAATTTTAATTAAAAAATATTTAAATATTAATAAATACAATAAATAAAAAATATATTTTTTTTTTGATATATTAAAAAAAGATATTATGAATTGATATTATATGGAACTTACTTTAATGCTAAAATTAAATAATTATTTTTTTCTTTCTGTATATGTTCTAGTTCTGCCACATCATTTGTATTTTGTCTTTGATTTAAAATCATTGCACTTCTAATATCTTTATCTTCAGTACTTGAATGTTCATTAATTCCTTTATAAGAGTAAGCAACACATTCTTTTAGATTTTCAAATTGAGGAGATTTCATATATATACTAATTTGCTCAAATTGATTATCAGCAAAACGAGCTAATGCTACTTGTGTATCATGTAAATCTTTAATAGTATTAATATTTTGTGTAGTTTGTATAATTGATGTGTTTATATCTATAGATTTTAAATAATAATCCTTTATCACAGTCTGAAAAATAAATATAAATTGTAAAATATTAGATAATTTCAATTCTTTTCATAATTTAATTTTCTCTTATAATTTACTATAAATAATATGTACTTGGGGATTTTCTGATTTTGTTTCAGCCATCCAATCTCCATAAACTCTTAATATTTGTGCTTGCAAATTTATATCCAAATCTTCCTTGTACATTAAATTACGTAAAAGAAATCTTCCAACATATACATCCTTTCTAAGTCGTGCTAATAGAGATTCTTGATAAAGTAATTGATCTTGAATTTTTTGTGGTATATCTTTTTGTTTTGTCAAAATAGCTTTCATAAAAAAATTTATAATATGTATAATATATAAAAAAAAATATAATATAAAGTGTAAAATAAAAATAAAATATTATAATTTATAATTAATTTAAGTGTTATAACACTTTTTGTTATATATACCTAATGCACGAGTAGCAATTTGCAAATCCTCTTTATCTGCTGCTATTTTTGATATTTGTAAATATGTATTAAAAAGCGCATTTTTAATATTTATATTATCAATTAAAATATTATTTATTTGAAACATTATAGTTCTTTGAGTTAAAATGGGTTCAATATATTGAAAATCACTAAAATTTGCAACATCTTGCTGTTGCCATTTATGCAATATTTGTTCATATTCATCTTGTTTAGCAAAACTTAATTCCTCAATTTCATTAATTAATTGTAATTGCATTAATTTTTCATATATAGTTTTATTATTTTCTAAAAATAATAAATCTTTAAATAAACATAAAAATATTAAAAATTTTAATAAATCTTACCTAGACTAATGCTTCTAAGTGCTTTTATAATGCTAATGCGAGCATTTTGAATTGCATCTTGTATACCTATTTTATTACCTTCATGAAAATATTTTAATGCTTGATAATGATAAAAATTATAATCATGTTCAGATACTTCTAATTTTAAATTACAGTTATTCTGTGTGTATAAAATTTGATTTGTTTCACAAATATTCCAATTACTAAGTCGCCAAGCACATTCATATTGAATCTCTTCATCTATTTTTGCACCATTTTTCAACATAATAGATATAAAATTACTAAGTAAATATTGAAGACCTGATTGTTGTAATCCATTTGCCATTTCTGAAATATATAATGTATTAAATATAAATTTATTTAATTCATTAAAATTTTATAATTAATATAATTTAATTCTAATTAATATTTTAGAATAAAAAATTTAAAAAAAAACATAATATCTTATGATAATGTGTTAATATTTTTTTACTAAAATTATTATAACATTATTGATGTATATTTCTATATCAAATCAACATATAATTTTATCATTTACCTTTGATTACTGCCATATTTCCAAAAGAAAGTTCAACATCTTGTGCAAGCATTACTTTATTCCATTCATTTGTATGAATATAATGTTCAATACGAGAAGAATAATCTAATAAATGTGAGGAACCAGTACCATTAATGGCATCAAAATCACCTATTTTTGCATAAGATTCTCTAAGTATGTTTTGTATTACTCTTCCTTGTTCAGGTGACAATTCATAAACAAAATCAATTTTTGAAGCAGTATTAAATTTACTATAATCATTTAAAATAGTTTCACAAGACATTTCTGCATATAATATTGCAGTAAAAAATGCTGAACAATATTTGGCAGCTTTTGCAATATATATATAATTTAATTTTAAAATATTGTTTGAAATTTGCATTCTAATATAATTCACAATATTTAACATACAACGTACAGTACAATGATCACAATTTATAAATTTTGTATTATTTGTTTCTATTGTAAAATTAAAATGATATTCAAAAAATTTATTAATACATAAACATAATGTAGTTATAAACTGTTCATCTGTATGAATTATTAAAAATATAATTCTCGGTAAAATTATTTCACAAAAATCAGTACTTAAAGTACAAATGGGGATTAAATTTTCAGAATAAAATCCTATAAAACATTCTAAAATATTACATGTTAATGCTATAATCCAACTGGAATATGAACCATCAGATTGAACTGTCCAAATAGTATTATTTTGATTTATAATATTATTCATTTTTATATAATTTATTTCAATGCTATTAATTTTTGAATTTTTATTACTTATAAATGGCTGAATATAATTAATGGGTAATACTTGTGGTTCATCTAAAATAGTTTTTAAATATTCCATATATTTTATGTTCAATAGTTTTTGTCCCCAAGAAGATGAAAATACAACATAAAGAACATTAGCACTTTTTTTCCGAATTTCAATATTATTTTGAAATAAGAATTGTATCATTGTTATTGCTATTTTATATGATAATATTTCTATTAAATCAGAAGATTCTCTAACATGATTTTTTTCAAAATATATCATTGATGTCAAATCAATTGGGCCTAAATCACCTAAACATTTTACGGCTTCGAGTGAAACATTTATATCAGAAGATGCTGTTAATTTTATAAGTTTATACACCAATTGATACAATATGCTTGAGGTACAATTACTAAAAAATCCATGAAATATTTCAAGTTTATCATATAATTCTCGTAATTCTTCTTTTCTTGTAGATAATTGTATGTGTAAATGAGCAACATCTTCTACACTATAATGTATACATTTATCAGATGTTGTATTCAAAAAATGTTGCACTTCTTCTTCCAAACTACAAATTTTTTTTGCTTTATATTTCAAATTATAATGTATATTTCGTATATCTAAAAAAATCGGATCTTTTGGAAATAAATTTAACTTCTCTATTGCATCATATAATATTTCTTTTTGATCAATTATTAAGAACTGTAATATTTCTAAACTTATAGGTATGTTTTCCGTTTGTATTATAGGAATTAAAGTTGTAACAGTGAAGTTCAAAATTTCTTTGATTTGTTCACATCTTATATTTAAAACATGTTTTATAAATTTATAAAAATATTTACATGCCAATTTACGAAGAATATCATCATATATTTTAATTATATGAAGTAAAGTATAACTAATATCTTTTATAACATACATGGATAATGTATTAAAATAATCATTTTTCAGTTCTTTAATAAGTAATGTACAAAAAAAAATATACTGATGAAAAGCTTTTATTTTATATTCCTCAAATTTTTTTTTATAAATATTATGAGTTAAATGTAATAATATCTTTTGCAATACATTTGGACAATTACAAACTAAAACATATTGTATAGACATTTTTTCAGTAAAAAAGTTTTCTTCCATATACTTTAAACAATCAATTATTATATCTTTTTTAAAATGAGGTGGATCTGATATAGGAAATGATATTCTCTCTTCTAATATTTCTTCAAGATAATCTTCATCATGTAATCTTTCAATAAGAAATATTAATATTTCTTCAAATTTATCTTTAAATAAATTAGAAAATTTTTTTATTTTGACAAATTCATCTCGATTTGATACTAATTTATGAAATATTTTGCATGCTAATTGTTTTGAAATATTTCCATTATTTCCATTAATACAATACAATAACCATGATAAAATTTGTGGAAAAATATTCTCACTGATTCGTTCAAATGATAATTTAATGGAATTGCAAAAAGAAATAGTACTAGAAAGTTCTAAATTTTGAAATTTAATAAATGTTAATGTATCACTATATACTTTATAAAATTCTTCTTCTGATTTATTGGAATTTATTATTAAATTCCAAGGAAATAATTGTGACGAATATTTTGAATTAAACCAATATGTCATTAAATAACTTAAATTGTCTTCAATGATGTTTGAATAATCGATTTGATTTGCCATAATATTTATTGGTTTTGAAATTATTTGATTATCTACTTTTTTGTCAATACTAAAGCGTAACATTGTTAATAAAGCATGACATTGAAATGTTCCACTGGCAGATATTATAGCACCAAGCATTAATAAAGTACTTCTTGTTATAATTTCTTTTTTATCTGTTTTCACTTTATCATCTGATTCATTGTTAATAATTAACTTATTTATTGATTCTTCTATTTGTTTAAATAACATTTCTTTCCATTTAAAAGGTATAGTTTTTATCGAATATATGTTTTGTATACATTTAATTATTTGTAATCGTACAAGAAATGAAGAACTATTAAGAGATATTAAAATTCCTTCAATTATTGGCATTTTCGAAGCATTATGTGTAATATAATAAAAATATGAAGGATTAATATAAATAATTTCTGTGAGGCATTTAATAAAATCTTTATGAACAATAAAACCATATTTTTTTTCCGATTGAAGTTTATTAAAATGCATAATAATATCCATTAAATTATCTATTTTATAATTGTGACTTAAGGCATAACTAAAAAAATATGGTAGAATATCAAATATATAACGGATAACCATTTCATCTTTATAACATTCGTTATATAATTTCAATAAATTTTTCAATGGTAGTTCATTGTGATTTTTCCATAATTCTTCTTTACCATATTTTGCTGAAGATTTTAAAACTGTTATAGCCATTATAAAATCAACTGTATGTGAAAGATCATACATGTTAATATTAAGTAAATTATTCATAAGTTTTATTTGAATTTCACATTTTTCTTGTCCTGTATTTATACAGCAAAATAAAGTTAAAGCTTTTGTTGCTTGTATTCTAATTGTACCTTCATTACAAAAATTACATTGTTTTTTTTGTATAATATCTCTATCTAGATATTTACGTCTATTTTGTAGAGATTCATAATCATTATAATAATCATTATTTGTTTTATAATCAATAAGTTCATGATCTTCAATATTCATTAAACTAAATATATTTTTTAACATATCTAATGTTGCAGATGTAACAATTATTTTTGCCACATCAATATCATATGATGTTTCATATAATGTATTAAGTGCTTTTGTTACATTATAAAGATAAATATATTTACTTCTTGATGGATCTATATTTTCTAATAAACCATAAACAATATGTAAATAATTTTTCATTGCTTGCATTAAAGATAATTCTTCAATGTTTTTAGATATCATATTTAATTGTCTCATTATTGATATAATTTTTGCTATAATTGTAATTTTTATTATAATTACATGAAGATCATCACTTTCATTTTCATTGATAATAACATATAAACTATTCATTAAATAATTTACAATATTTTGCATGTATAATATATGTTCATTTCTTTTTGGTTTTTGTTCAGTATTTTTTCTTTTTTCCTCAGTAAATAAATTTTTTTTATATGTTAATAATAAATAACATTCTTCAATATGTTCGCAAAATAATTCAGTATTTTGTTCATTTTTTAAACAATCACATGACTTATTAATATTATATTTTTTGAATTTTATTTGTTTTTCAGGTTTTATTTTTAATGTAATGTTAATGAGTAATAAACATAATTCATCAATTTTTATTTGTGTTGCCATTTTATGCCAGGGAATATTTAATATCCATTTTATAAGACATGACCTAATACAATTTGAATTTGTTGTTGGTGAGTACATATTTATATTAAACATTGTAATATCAATAGATAAAGCAAAATGTTCACAAATTATTGTTAATGTATGTAAACTCATAATTGACCATTTAATCACATTTGTAAAATATAATTTTAAAAGTATATTTGGATTTGTTATCTTATTATGTATTATAAAGAGTTGCATAAGTTTATGAGTTGATATTTCATTCTGATTTATGTTTAAAGATCTAAAATAATAAATTAATATTGAGAAACATAAAATGAATATTCTAGAAAAGTTTATATATTAAAATATAAATATTCATAAAAATTTCTAATGAATTTATCATAAAAAAATCTAAATATTAAATATCATACCTTAATAAAATATCCCATATTTTATCCCAATAAATATTTAAATTTTCTACATCTGTTATAGAAAATGTTTGTTCATTCATTAATAGAACTGCAGCTAATTCATATAAATTGTCCATAATATTTTCTTCTTTGCAAGATAATGTAAAAAGATTTACTAAATTTTTTAGGAACATTGGAAAATCTTCTGATTTTAAACATTTAGGATATTGTTCAAATAACATTGTTAAAACTTGTATCATTGGCCAAGCTTCTTCTGGACTACTATTAATAAGCATATCAAGTGGTCCATTTATTTTAGCAACAATTCGTCTACGTTTTATTGGTTGTATATAATCATATTCATTAAATTTTTTTTCAATAATTAAATCTGGATTTTCTAATATTTGTTTCAAAACTAAAAATTATATTTTTAAAGTTAATAATTAATAAAATATTTTTATTTTGTAATTTAGAAAAAAATATAAATATTACCTTCAGTTGCAAGACGAAGGAAACTTTTTGAAAGTATATCTGCTTTAAAATCTTTCAAAATCATTAGATACATACTTTTAAGTACTGTATACCATTTTTCCCAATTATAAGCATAGGCACCATCATCAGTTTTACATGCCCCTTTAGGATGATGAATTTGTATAAAAAGTAATAAAAGTTTATATTTTTCAATAGAACCTTTTAAGCTGATTATATTTGATAAAATATTTTCACTAAAATGACACAGTGTAATTCTATATTCTATTGCAATTTGTTGACATATTGTATTTGTAAGTTTATAACTAGACTCAGCTAAAATTTCTTGATTTATTTTTACATCAGAGAAAATATTTTCTAAAATCAAAAGAAGATATATTGCAATGATTCATAAACATATTTATAAATATAAATATATATATAAATTTCTATTTTTAATATAGAATTTTTATGAAGTAAAGAATTTGTTTCAAAAGTTATTTCACATACCTAAAAAAGATAATAGTTCTTTTATATTCAAAATTAAATTTGTATGCAAACAACCATATTCAATAATCATTTGTAAAGCATCTAAAACAGTTTTCTTACTTATAACAGAAGACATATGATTATATAAATTTATACATATTTTTAATAATTCTTCCCAGTATTTAGGAAGCATATTTATTTGATATATTCTAAATGGAAGAATATAAGAAATTAATACATTTATATAAGTATCATAATAATACTTATATATATCTGTGCCTAAAACTTGCAAAATTAAAGGCATTATATCATTGCATTTTAAAAGTGGTATTTTATGACAATTTGCATATTGAAATGTTTTTTGTATGAGTATACATGTATTTTGTCGTTCAGTAATTACTGTTTTACTATTAATATCTTTACAAGCAAGTCTATCTGTTTCCTTTAATAATAAATATAATTATATTTTTTTGACTCTTTTAATATTAATTTTAATAAATTTTATTTTAATTATTTTAAGAATAAAAATATACTTACATTTAATAATATTTTATGAACTATATGTAATATATAAGACCAATTTATAATATTTTGTGTTTTTTTTTCTGTATTTCTACAGATTTCTATTATTGCTTCTTCATTTTCATATATATCTAATAGATCTAAAACACATTTCTAAAATAAAAATTATTATTTATATTTAATATTTCAAGGAATGATGTAAATAAAATAAAATAAAATATCTTTTATGAAAAATATTATTAAATAACTCTACTAATAATTAACAGATTATTAAATAACTCTAATATATTAGTTTTTATTAATGTATAATATTTATAAATGTTAATTAATATTATTTTTGTTATAAATATAAAAATATAGATATATAGTTATATAGAATTTTTTTTCAAAATGTCAAAATAAAATTCATTGATTTAAAGAAGCAAAATTATATAATGTATAATATATTATATAAAAAATTATACATATATTTGAATAAATACATACTCTTTTATCTGTGATCTTCTTACTATCTGCATTTTTTAATATATCCTGTATTCTTTCCAAATATTTTGACATTTTACAATTGATAATGAAAATCTTTTCTTAATGATATTCTGAAAAAAAGTATTATATTATTGTGTATATGTATATATATATATCTATAATATATATGTATGTTTGTGCATGTATAATACATGTATAACATTTCAAAATTTTAATGACATATTATTAATAAAATTAATAGAAGTGAAACAACATTTTTTCAATTACAAATATCAAATAAATATGAAAGTAATATTTTAGTAACACTTTAACAAACTTCTCCTAGTAAAAATACTAGAAAAATATTTATATAGCAAAACTATAATAATCATATAAAGTTCGTCTAATAATAATCTAATAATAATTTTTTTTGTGTTTTTGCAAATTTTGTCAGAATTTAGTAACTTCAGAATTAAAAAATTATTTGTATACAATATTGTTAATTTTTAAAAATTTTTACATTATACCATAGTAAACTTTTAACCAATCTGATTCGATAATATAAAAACTAGTGCGCTAAATTCAAATTATTTTTCAATTAATAAATTCATAATTTACATTATTAGATTATAATATTTTTTAACACAACTTAATAAAATGAAGTCTAAAAATCTTAATAATTTTCTTGAATTGTCCTTATTATTCATTTTTATTTATATGTTATTATTATTTATATATTATTATATGTATTATATGTATTATTTAATTTTTTTTAATTAACAATAAATAATTTTTCTTAGTTTCAAACATTTTTATCTTTAATAATTAAAAATAAAAAACATCTATTTTTACATATATAATAGTATGTATATAGTATAAAATTAGTATTATATAGTATAAAATTCGTTGTTTTTATTATATTTTAATATTCTAAAATATAAATAAAATGTTAAATATATAAACTATTATTAAAAAATATTTTACATGAGATATTAATAATATTAAATATTAATATTGATAATAAATATTGTAAAATATATTATAAATTAAATTTGTTTAAAGATCGTATAATTTTTATTATTAAAAAAAATTGCTTGTGAAATTTTAAGAAATGAAAGGAACTTCAAAGTATTAGTTGATAATAGCTATTAAGTTAACATATACATATGTGATGATAAACGTTCCCACAGACCAATTCTACTTCAATTTAGTTTAAGTATTGGACAGAGTTCAACTATCATCCTTTATGAATAATAGCCTAAACTGTTGGTTAAATTCCATTTAATTTTTGACTAAAATTTACATAATATTATTTAGGAATTTATTTTACAGCACGCTGAATATTATAAAAAATTAAATATAAAATAGAATATATAAAATATAAGCTTGATTTTATATTTCTTTTTATCTTTTTTTTCAAATATCATTCTATAATATTAGATGCTAGATATATATATATTATACATATAAAATATATATACAAAAATACATAAATATTATTTTTTTATATTTAATATTTATTCAATTACAATTTTATTAAATTTTACAAATTTTTTTTCATATGACGAGAAATATAGAAAATATTTTGTTAAAATTTCATAAGTACGATTATACTACTGTAATAGATGTGTGGCGTTAGCAGATTGTTATCGATGTTATGTTCTGAATATCGATCCGGAATACTTCTGGTCATACGATATTAAACGTATGAAAAAAAACGGTGCAAAATAACGTTATTTGTTATTTAATAGTAGGATTTTGTGTGGGCTTTGAAATTTGTATATACATATATATATATATATATATATATATATATATACATAATGTATATATATTATCGATAATGATGCTCATTTCTTGGGATGAAAGCAAAACGACTCGCATATAACGTTGAGTCGGATAAAATCAGCCTTTGTAAACAGATTATAGTTCATAATCGGTCGTCAAGGGTCGTCTTACGAATGGCCTGGCAACATAATTCTTCCATTACGAAAGTTCCAGAGGCACCGAGTGCCAATTGATTGAAACAATCTATGCATTCCAGCTACACGTGATGTAATTGAGCAGTTCACAGACCGGCTAACAATGATAATTTAAAACACAAAACGTATTAATACGTTGTTTCATAGATCTATTCATATATCTATATATTTGTTTATATATGTAAATGTTAATATATTGTATATATACATGTTAATACATATGTTAATACACAGGATATATTTATCATAATTTTTAAATCCCATTATTTTATTTTTTATAGTTATATATATATTAATACAATATTACAATATTAATAAAATTACACGCAGAAATTTAATATGTTAGGATTATGACAAATAATATGACAAACAAATGAAGATTTTATATGATTATAAATAATTTTTATATAAATATTTATAATGAAGATAATATTGTTCAATATATAGTGAATAATCTTATAATAANTATTAATAAAATATTATTATTAAATAAAAAATATTTAAATACAATTATCTAATAATATTATATATTAAGATAAAGATATATTCCGGTATTATAAAAATAAATATAAAGATAAAATTAAATACTAAAAATTATGTAATTATAAATAAATATATTATAAATATATAAATATATAAATATAAAAATATATTATAAATATATAATTTATAATATATATATATATATTATAAATATAAATATTAAGAATTAAATATGTATTAATATTATATGTAATATATTATATCTATATATATCTAATATATTTTTTAGAATTAAATGTGTTTATAATAATTAAATTTTTGTTTTATATATGAAATATATTCATATTTATTAATTTGATATCAATAAATTATCAATTGTTACTAATTATTTTAATTCAAATTTTTACTAAATTCAGAAAATATTGATTAATTATTGAAAAATATAAATAATTTTTAATTTTCAACTTATATTTTATTAATATATTGTAAAAATCATTAAATTTTAATTTTTAAAAAAATATTTAATTATTTCAACCTTTTTCGGATATCCGATTCGGATAAATTTTACCATTTCGTTTTATTTCACAAAATTTTTTGATAAATTTATAAAACTTAAAAAATACTTTTTATATTCTATAAATTATTTCTCTATTGTAATAGATTCAATATTAATAAAACATTATTTACAATAATATTTTCAAACGTTTCATATCACAGTAGTAATACAAATTCGGTTGAATCTGGAACCTAAAACAAGATTGAATAAAAAAAGAAAGCAAAGAAACTGGAAGAAAACACATACATATGCACAAATATTGAAATATTCGTATACACTCAAAAGAGGTAAGGTTAAAACAGGATATGCCTGTAAGGTGGTATAAGAAAAAAATAAGAAAGAAGAAAAATAAGAAGTTGCAAACGAAGCATATGTTTAGTTTATGTTAGATCAGTTAGCTTGATAAAAACCGGGCAGTAATCAAATATAATGGGTTCCATTTAATCGGGGGTGGAAGGGGCGATCGCGCCGTTTCTTTTAAAGCGCATGCTTGCGAGTCTTCTCGACATTTACGTTTCAGCTACGAACGCGACATCGAATATTCACTTACTAGTATCATTTACGTCTACTTTAGCCATTAATTTTCTTTTTTTATTTTTTATATCGTGAAATATTACCTCATACGATTATACTTATTATTAATTTATCTTTTAAATCTAAAATATAATACTATTATAATCCACCAAAATTTAATCAATTTAATAATTCTTGAACCTAATATTTCTGTGGAAGTATATTTTTTGTGAAAAATTTTTTTATAAAACTAATTCAAAACTGTTATTATTGGTGTAAAAATTTAATAACAAGCAAAATGGCTTTGAAAATTCGCGTTCAATCACCGAAGGTAAAATACACAGAAGATTGTATTGAAGCACAGTACGAGTATCAAACAACGAACGTTACAGAAGACGATACAAAATATACGGTAAGCATACCGAGAATGTTCTTTTTTTCTATAAATTTTTCTTTTCGATTTAAAATACTATTTAAATTGTTTTCTATTATTACATTTATTATTAAATTATTAAATTAAAATATTATAAGAAAAATATGGAATAAAAGAAAATATTTTTTTATACTTTTTATCCAACAATAAACTGATTATTGAGCACGCGCGCAAGCACACATAATATATACAGGCAGTAATGTTTAATATATTTTTAATTAAATTGAAAAAATTATAATCAAAATGTTTTAATCTTAAATAAAAAAAATAAAAAATTCATATTTACTAAAAATATATATATTCGAATAATTTTAATTTTTCATACTTGTTCTTTTCCTTCATAGAAAAACATAAATATAATTAAAAATATAAAAATATAATTTCCAAATTATGAAAATTTTTGTAAGAAAATTTTATACTAAAATATAATATAATATTGATATAAAATAAAATGATGAAAAAATTAATTAATTTAATAATATTTATTTGCATCAAATGATAAGAATTGTAATAAGAAGAACTTTGAAAATTCCCGCTCATAATGATACATAGATTTTTTGTGTTTCATAAATTGTTGCAATTATTATCAGTATGTGATAAAATATTATTTAAAAAGATTAATTATATATTTTATTAATTATATATATAAAAATAATAATATTTAAGATTTAAGAAGAAACTTATTGCTCTTTTTTTAAAATATTTCTTCAGATTTGTGAAGAAATTTTTTTCTTTAAGTTTATGGATTATATTATATAAATTTTACATAATTTATGTAAAAATTGTATATAAGTATATATATAAATTATAATGTAATATGATCATGAAATGTAAATGGTATTATTAAATAATTTATTATTAAATATTATTATTATTAAATTGTAAATGTGTATTAAATTGTAAATATGTTCATATACAAGTTTTTTATTAGGAAAAAAATTGATATTTAATTTAATCAATACATTTAAGGTTGGAAGGCATTTTTAGAAAAACTGTATAAATATTCAATTTTCAGATTTTGTACTTAAAAATTCTTTTTTAGGGGAAAGGAACAAATATATTAAAAAAATGAACAGCTGCTCAAACGCTATGATTTTAATTTTGGAAATGAATTTTTCAATTTTTGAAAAAAAATAAAGGTTCCTGTATTGTACACCATTGTGTAGCATAAAAAACCTTGGATACAAATATTAACAATTATTACGCGTAATATTATTTACTTTAAACACTTGAAAATAATATAATTACAGAATATAAACATATATATATATATTGTAATAGGTGACACCTGTATCAACAAAGCTATTAATTAGAACACAACTGAAAGTTCCAAAACTTGGATTAATGTTAGTAGGATGGGGTGGAAATAATGGCACCACTATTACTGCAGCATTATTAGCAAACAAACTTAAATTGACATGGGACACAAAGAATGGCATTCAAAAAGCAAATTGGTAATTATGATCATTTGATAATAATGTATTTTAAAATTTCCTGAATTTAATTATTTATATAAAACTTTTATCTAAATTTCAGGTATGGTTCTTTAATTCAAGCATCCACTATCAGATTAGGCAAAGGAAATAAAGAAGATATATATGTTCCCATGTCTTGGATGCTTCCAATGGTAAATCCAGACGATATTCAAATTGATGGTTGGGATATTTCAGACATGAATTTAGCTGATGCTATGCAACGTGCAAAAGTTTTAAACATTAATTTACAAAAACAATTAGTAGAACATATGATGCATATGAAACCAAGAAAAAGCATATATTATGCAGATTTTATTGCTGCTAATCAGGTAAATAATGTTTTTAATTAAATTTTCCTTAAAATTTTTTTTTATTCTTATAAATGATATATTCACTATTGATTAATAATTAATATATTATTGAATATATTTAAAAAATATATTTGAAAAAAGCAATTAAATATTAACAAAGAATTCATACTATATTGTTAAATTCTTTCAGGAAAAAAGAGCAAATAATATTATTTTGGGTACAAAATTTGAACAATTAGAACAAATTAGAAAAGACATTGTAGAATTTAAAACTTTAAATAAGTTGGACCAAGTAATTATATTATGGACTGCTAACACTGAACGATTTTCTGAGATAATTCCAGGTGTAAATGATACAGCAGAAAATTTATTAAATGCTATTAAAAAAAGTCATTCAGAAGTTAGTCCCAGTACAGTTTTTGCTGTAGCAGCTGCTTTAGAAGGAGTAAGTAAAATTTATTGTTTTTATAAAATAAAGATATTATTATTATTATTCTTATTCATAATAGTAAATAAAATTTATTGATATTATATTGATATTATATGATATGTATTGATATTACTGTTTGTTATTGTTTGTCGTTACTGTTTCAGTGTACATATATTAATGGATCTCCTCAAAATACTTTTGTACCAGGAGCAATAGAATTAGCAGAAAAACATAAAACATTTATTGGTGGTGATGATTTTAAATCTGGCCAAACAAAATTAAAATCTGTGCTTGTAGATTTCTTAGTTTCAGCTGGTATTAAACCAGTATCAATTGTTAGTTATAATCATCTTGGAAATAATGATGGGTATAATTTATCTGCTCCTCAACAATTTCGATCAAAAGAGGTAATATATCAAAAAAATATAATTTTAATATCATATATATTTATAATATTTCTAATTATACTTTCAGATTTCAAAAAGCAATGTTGTGGATGATATGGTACAATCAAATAAAATTCTTTATCAATCTGGAGAAAAACCAGATCATTGTGTTGTTATTAAATATGTTCCATATGTTGGTATGTGAAAAAGAACATATATATTATAAATATTATAATATATATAACATAGAGTATTATTATTTCATTTCTTATTAGGTGATAGCAAACGGGCGATGGATGAATATACATCAGAAATATTATTGGGAGGACATAATACGATTGTAGTACATAATACATGTGAAGATTCTTTATTGGCAAGTCCAATTATTTTGGATTTGGTTTTGTTAGCAGAGATTTGCTCACGAATTACTTTCAAAATAGCAGATACAAAAGATGAGTTTACTGGATTTCATAGTGTACTGTCCATACTTTCATATCTCTGCAAAGCACCATTAGTACCACGAGGAACGCCGGTTGTAAATGCATTATTCAGACAACGAGCTGCAATTGAAAACATTTTAAGAGCATGTCTTGCATTGCCACCTGAAAATAATATGTTACTTGAACACAAAGTTAATTTCAAAAATCAATTATGAATTTAAGAAAAAAACATTGTGTTTTAAACTAAGGGTATTATTTGCAAAAAAGGAACGAACAGTATTATTAAAGAATAATTTTAAAAACAGTAAAAAATTAAATATTTTAAAATTTGTATTGTTTACAAGATGAAATTTGTTAGTATTTAAAAATCACTTTCATATTTCCACATTTATTGTTACGAAATTTATATTATTAGCTATAAATAAATATTATTAGTTAATGACAGATATCATAAAATTATTATACAGTATTTGATGTGTGAGAATGTTGTTTATTAGATTTCATAACATTTTATAAGATACAATTGTGATATATATTTTTTTAAACATAACAAATTAAAATAACAAATTAAAAATATATATTTTTACAGTAAATAATATTTTGAACAATAAAAAATTATTTTCAAATCAAGATGGGGAGAGAGTCTAATTTTATATATAAAACTTAATTTAGTTTCATATAAGAAATTCCTATAACTTACTGTATAGTTCCTTATATTTTTTGTTTAACATTTAATTTAAAGTTTGATCTCATTATCTGAAAGATATGGTTTTTTTGAATAACAATATATATAAAAAGAATGAAAAATGTTGATGTGAATTTGAAAATACCCTTATCTTTTTTAGATATTGTCGTTTATAAATGAAAAATGTTGTCAATAATACCTTTAATATATATATACATATATATGTGTATATATATATATATATATATATATATATATATATATATATATATATATTTATATATATATTTATAATGTTTATATATTACACATTTAAAAATAAATAATTATAAAAAATATTTATTATTTATTTATTTCAATTTAATTCATCGAAATCGAAATTTTTAATGTTTTAATAATCCCTAATAATTCCGTAATATCTATATTATGAATTTCAGATATTTGCTATAGATGTTTTTAAGATATTCAGTATATCCAAACAGTACAAACTATTTAAATATATATATATCATATGTTATTATCATATTATATATCATATGTTATTATTTCTTAAAAATATCTGTAACAATATTTATTTTTAAATAAATACATAATCTTTCTTTTAAAATAGTATCTATAAGTATTTTAAAATATGGAAATTAGATACATTTGTGATATAGTGTGAAATCAAAATTTTATTATTACATGAAGTTTGCAGCTATAATATTTTTTAAATAAAATGAAAGATATATAATGATAATGTAATATTTTGATAAAAAATATTTTTATATAATTTATATAAAAAATTTTTCAAGTTTATGATTTATTATATTAATTTCATTAATTTCAATTATATATTATTAATAATAGTCAAGATGCAAAACGATTATAATCTTTGTAAATTTTCAAAATTTAAGAGTACTGCAGGAGAAACAATGGGAAATTGGGGATTTTCTAACAGAATTTCAAATTCCGGTCAAGAACTTAAACGTTTGAGATGTCTATTTAACAAAATGGATTCTATGTAAGAAGTAATTTTATTCTTATATTAATTATATTTTATATTATCTAATTTTAATCTTATCATATTACATTACATCTTAAAAATAGATTATAAATAATAATCTAAATTCATATTAATGTTAGATAACAATATAAAAATATAAAATTTAAATTTATTTATAATTTAATTTTATAATGTAATTAAATTTAAATTATTAAATTTAATATTTATTTTAAAAATATTTTCTTATGATATTATTGAAATTTTCAGGAGAACTACAAAACCAATGATGTGTGTAAAATATAATTATTTATATGATCCAGAAGCATGGGGTACAAAACCTAGTCCTGAAGAGTGTAAACCAATTTGGATGACTTTTCCTATGAGACGACCTCTTATTACATATAGTTCTACTGCTACTATATTATTAACTTCAAATTTAAATGAGATTGGAACAGATTTGCTTTATCCTATTCCAGGCCGAAGTTATGTATTACAGGGTGTATGTAAAAATTTTTAAGAATATTTAACTATAGTTATTAATTATATTTAATTAAATATTGAAATGTTATTTTCGAGAGAATATATTTTAAAACTATTTTTAATACTATTTTTCATTTTTAAACTAAAATGTTTTCTTTTTTCAATAGACAGATAAATGGTATCGATGTAGATAATGCAATGTACCATGTCCTACGCCTCGATGTAATTAATAGCAGATATTTATGTTCAAAACTAATAATAATGTATATACAAATAAAAAATATACAATATTAATTTTTGTGTTTTTATTTCTTTATGTAAATTTGTGTATATATATGTATATAATATATATATATAATATATATATATATATATATATATATATATTAAATATTAAATTATTAAACAATTTTTGAATAGTTTTAAAATAATGATTTAATTTTAAAATGTAAATTTGATTATTTTTTTATCTACACATTTTTTATATACATAATAATGTACATAATATAATATGCACATCGAAAAATTAATATATACTATTAATTTACATTAATCATAATGTAATTATGATAATCATTATTTTGATTATTTATTATTATGATAATTAATAAATTTATATTATTTAAATTCATTAATTTTATGTACTTTTTAAATTTGTATTTTATACACATACATTATAATACAGATAATAATTCTATGATTGATGATATACAAAATATTATTTGAAAAAATATGAATACTCTATAATATATTATAATTTATATTTTTTATTTTATAAATACGCGAAAAAAATTACATTTGTTAACTTTAAAATTTTAAGTCATTAAGTCATTAAGTCAACTTTGAAATTTGTAAAAAATTGATTAGTATTGCTTATTTCAAGAATGTTAATATATATTTATGTAAATCGCAACAAAATGCGATCGTTAAAAAATTTATTGTGAAATTTATCAATCCATTTTTTTCTTCTAAATTCCAAAATTTTAGTTTATAATTAAAAAAATTTTTGCAATATGACAAATTAACAGTTCCATCATTTGTGCTATATTTTTATTAAATATTTTAAAATTGAAACATAATGCAAACTACAACAATTTGTAAAGTAAAAGCAACACCGTCAATATGGTTAGTTTATATACATACATATATATATATATATATATATATATATATATATATGTTAGAATATTTACATGTATAATAAAATATGTATTTAAATATTAAAATAATTTTATATATTTTATGTTATATAATCATTATTATCATATTTATATTACAAATTTACATATTTTTTATATTAAATATATTTAAGAAAAGGATTAATTTTTTATAATAAAGAAAATTATAAATAAATTTATAAATAATAATGGTTTAAGCAAAAAATGTAATAACAATATGACGAGTATTTTTCCTTCTCTTATTTTTACAAGGCTTAACTTATAACTTAACTCTTAACTTATAACTTCTTCTCTTGTAAAACATATTATTTTATTATTGCTATTTTAACTATTTTAATCATTTTTTTACATCATTTATTTTAATTGTCTACTCGTTCTTTCTTTGTTAATTTTTTTATTTTTTTTGCTTTTATTTTTCTTCTTATATTTCTAATATTTATATATAATTTTTTTTTATGTATCATTTGAAAGAAATTATTTAATTAAATATCTAAACAGATTTCTATAGAAATTTTTTATTTATAGAAAAATTATTTTGTTTTCGTTGAATTACCATTTTTAGACTTTTCCACTAATCATCTAACGCATTTTTTTTTATTTTTTTTAATAATCTTATTAAAAAAGAAATTTTATGTATATATATATATATATATATATATATATATATTTATATATTATATAATTATATATATAAATAAAATTATTTCTTTATCAAAAATGAAATTAATTTTTATATATTTAATAGTTTTCGTCCTAAAAGTACGATATCAGAACAGCAGAAATGCGATCAAGAAAAGTCGCCACTTATATCAGCATTTCTCATGATCCCATTTGAAGAAAAAATACATCACACAACAAAAGTATCAAATACTTATAACATAAAAAGTAAAAAAATTTCGAAGGTAAATTGTAATCAATCTGTGTGAAATTTAAAAATAACGTCTTTTTTTTAAAGATGATATTTTACTTTATTTTATTATATATATATATATATAGTTTCCATATATTTTATATAAATTATATAAAATAATATAATAATATAATAACATATAAATATACATGTAATTATATGTTGAAAATTAATTTTTATTTTAGCCTACAAATGGCTTAAAATTTCCTGAAATGCGAAATGGTATTTTATTTACAAGATGTCATTGTGTACATAGAGATGGTCTTCAAGATTCTTGTCCATTAAGTCAATGTCAACAGGAATCTGATTGTTTGGTCAAGCCATGGCCTAAGTGTCCACCAGCAAAATATTTGCAATCTCGACATCCAGAACAGTATCCACCGTTTAAATAATGCGAGATCCCAGATATAACAGCCAAATTCAGTACATGTTACACACGAACAAATATCGATTTAGAAAAACAAAATTTAATTTTAAATAATTTATAGTAGAACATTTAAAAGATACAATTATTATTTTTGATCATATGTTATTTTTTAATTAAAATATAATAAAAATGGTAAAACAATTTATTTATTGTCTATATCATTCTATTTAAAATAAAGTGACTTTTTTAGTCCTCAAAGAGCGTAGCTGTAAAAATATATTATATCCAATTTATATAATTAATGAAAAAAAAATTTGTTTTTATCTCTACTAGTTTTTATCTCTAGAGAAAACTTCAGAGAAAATAATATTTTATATATTATATCTTATTCCATGTATATTTTTTTAAATGTTAATTAATATATAATTATTAAAATTAAATTTTCATTTTTATTTTTTAATTTAATTTTAATAATCTTAAATTCAAGTAAAAATTAATAAATATATATACACATGAAATATACGTATATAATATACATAATATATGCATATATAAATAGAAGATATATATATAAATATTTTGAAATATATTTTTATATAAAATTTTTATTTTTTATTTGTTTCGTGGCATAACATTATAAAAACATCTTCAATTTAACAAATAACATTGTTGACAGAAGATATGAAACATATATAATAAAATAAATTTGTAACAAAATGAAAAATGCACAGACTAAAGAATCTAATCAATAACCAATATAATAACTGGTAAATAAATTCTGTTATGAAAAAATTGGTACATATAGAAAAAAACATATTGATGGATATATACTGAAACATTTTGTTTAACACGGTGACGGGCACACTGATAAACATGGTGATGGACATAGTGTAAGACATGGTGGTGCACATGGTGAACACGGTTGGCATGGTGGACATGGTGGACATGGTAAACATGGTGGACATGGCAAACATGGTGGGCATGGTGAACATGGAGAACATGGTGGACATGGCAAACATGGTAAACATGGTAAACATGGCGAACACGGTGGTGGACATTTTGGTGGACATGGAGGTGGACACGGTGGTGGACACGGTGGTGGACATGCTGATGCACATGGTGGTAAACACGGTGGTGGACATGGTGGACATGGTGGTGGACATGGTGGTGGACACGGTGGTGGACATGATGGTGGACATGATGGTGGACATGGCGGTAAACATGGTAAACACGGTGGTAAACATGGCGGTGGACATGGTGGTGGACATGGTGGTGGACACGGTGGTATACATGGTATTACGCATGGTGGCGTGCATGAGGGTGGACATGGTGGTGGACATGGAACACAAATTTTGAAAGTAGCACAAGGAGGTACACAAGAAGTAATACAAGGTGAACAAGATGGACATGGTGGGCATGGAGGACACGGTGAGCATGGTGGACATGGTGGGCATGATGAACATGGTGGGCATGGTGGACATGGTGGACATGATGGACATGGTGGGCATGGTGGACATGGTAAGCATGGTGGACATGGTGAACATGGTGAACATGGTGGACACGGTGAGCACGGTGGGCACGGTAGGCACGGTGGACATGGTTGACATGGTGGGCCTGGTGGGCATGGTGGACATGGTGGACACGGTGGACATGGTGGACATGGTGAACTTGGTGGACATGGTGAACATGGTAATTCAACGCATATAGGTTTACAAGATTTGCTTGAGGATATCGGAGTCACCATGCAACAAGGTTTGTCCGCGCTTGTATTACATACCAATCTACAATATGCGGCAAGAGCAGCTTCCCTTGCTTGATCAGCACAATAAAATTTCTTTAAAGCAACTTCCATATCTCCTAATTCAGTTAATTTCAATAACGCGCAACGACCTGGCATACAAACGGGGTACAATTTCGTCATACATTCTGGTCTACCCATGCACTCCCACATCATACATCTATCTTGTAGCCCATTCCTTTTGATACATTCACATCTATATATAATACTTGTTCGAAAATCATAGCTTTTACATTGTTTAACTGGAATCTGAAATTTAATGTATAAAATTTAATTTCTTATAATTATTACAATAAAAATTAATTTTTCTTTTCATAACTTTACAAATTATTTTTAAAATTATTAATTTTTTTATATAATAAATTTCTTATATCTTTCATAATATTATAATATTATAATAAAAATATTATAATATTATTGAATAGTCGAATTTTTTAATATATTTGAATTATATATAAAAGTTTTAATTATATATAAAAAAATTGCATGTTACTTAATTATCGAAATATCAAATTCATATATTATTTAGTTTCAAGATAAAAATTATACCAATTATAATATTCCAATTATTTAAATTATATGGAATCAACTGATGAATGTTTTTTTTTTTTCTATTATTCGCTTTCAATGTTTTTTTTATTTGCACAATAAATATAAAAATCGTTTGAATGAAAACTGAGTATAAATTGCAATTAAATTGACAAAGAACACTATTCTACTGATGATGAAATGTTATAGACTGAATATAAAATGCGATTAAATTAACAAAGAACACTATTCAATTGATGATGGAATTTTATAAACTGAGTAAAAATTACGATTAAATTAACAAAGAACGTTATTCAATTGATCATGCAATCTTATAGACTTTTTAATATAATTTGAAAGAATATACCTACTATCGGATTCATTATAAATTTAAAATGCTATTCATTAATTGATTTAAAAGCTCTATTGTTGCGAAAAATGTTCAACGATATCCAGATGAAAATTTCCGTAATTTTATTTATTAAAATATTTTGAAATGACTTAAAATATAAATAATTATAAGCTTTATATTTAACAAATTTTTAATTATAATTTTTTCGAAAAAAAAATTGTCTAATGCAATTTTGATTTTTTATTTTTGTCTTATTTTAAATCATATTATCTTCCTGATCTCAAGTTTATATCGCAAATTTTAGCTCACGGTATATTTAAACCAATTTATACTTACACAAGGTGCTGCACAAGGTGAACACATAACAGGAGGTGGACATGGTGGTTCATCCCATTCACATGCTTTTCTGTAATAAATGATTTATAAGTTTACTCGTGACTGTAATTATAAGATTCTCTTACTTTCTTTCCATAGAACTAATTAAACATTTCAATTGAGCTAATAATTCTCGTCTTCTATCGCAATTTGGATTTTTTCCATCGCATGGCATTTTTAACAATGTTTATATTCAAACAACGAAATACAACAAATTTTGATTTTATCCCAGTCTTATAAAAATGATAGAATACGATTTTTTTTACATATTCATTATATTTTTTGCATATTTTTTACCCAATTAATTTATTATTTGGAACATTGCACTGAAATGATTTTATTCTAAAAAAAACGACAATATCATCTGAATATATCTAGTATATAATAAGTGAATGATAATTTTGGATAAACTTCAATTGTTTGATATTCTGTTATCAAAATTTCCGGTGTACAAAAATAATTATAAAAGTAATAATTAAGTAAGAAAAATTTAATAAAAAAAAGAGAAAGAACGTGCAATGTCTTGCGGAGGAAATACTTTATCATGTTCACCTTGTTTCCCATCACCTGTGGCTCAGTACCAGTTACCATCTTGCCCATCGTGTGTATCTTATCCATGTGTTCCACCAATTTGTGTTGCATGCCCTCCACCATGTAAAATTACCATATGTACGCCACCAGTGCCGTGCGGACCTTGTCCACCGAAATGTATTCCATATTGTCCACCTGCATGCGCTGCAAGATGCCTAACAAGAGCTACAGCACGCTGCCTTTGTCAATGACTAAATGAATTGTTTCATTAGAAGATTTTATTTATATATGCATATATACATATATCATTTTTGTCCGTTCGGCACGAATTTGAAACAACAATTTTATACCACATTATAATTTGAATTTCAATAACATGTTTCGTAGTTTTGTTTAATGAATCTACAGATAATATACATACATGAAACCATATGCAATTAGGTAAAATGTACAGTGAAATACATAAACTTTTATACAAATTAAATAAGCAACATAAAAACTAATATTTTTAATATTATCTAAAATATATATTATAAAGAGATTTTATTAAACAGATTTTGCAAGGTTACTATTCCTCCTCCACACGTTCCACCACCAAAGATATACGTTCCTAAACGGCCTTGCTGCAGACCCGGTTGTTTTCATGTACCACCACCAAAATGTTGTCTATACATGTATTGGCGTCTTCCATGTAAAGCTGATTGTTTTGAAGTTTAAAATCTTATATGTGATAATATTAAATTTTTTTATTTTATATTACCAACAAATACAAAGTCTAAAGTCAAAAGAAATATTATTATAATACTAATAATTTAAAATTCATTCAACAAACATGTATAATAATAATTTTTGTTTCGTGTTAAAATTGTCTTTTATATCTTATATATATATTAGATTAAGAAGAAATAAATTTGAATGTATTACTTCCCATTTTTAATAAGATTCCGTTTTCGTTTAATTTCACAAGAAATTCAGAAAAATCACCTATTACAAAATTTTTATCTATCGCAATCTCTTGCAATCTTTTCATAGAAAATATTTGACTTTTATTAGAATTGGTTTCTTTTCTTAATATTTCTATAAACCGTTTAATCTTGAAATAAAAATTACATATTAATATGTATATCGTATATATCTTTTATTAAACATGATAAATCTTTTATTTACTTACTTTTCCAGTAGTTACATTTTTTGTATCTAAAGATTGATAATTTATAAATTTATCATCAAATGTATATTGTAAAATTTCTATTACATCCAAAGCATCTACTTCTGTTGCCTCTGTCCGTAATTCCAATTTTGCTCTAGCCTATTTAACAACAAGTTTCTTTTTAATTTAAAATCTATATAAAGATTGAAACAAACAGTAATTAAAATAATTAAACCTCTGTTAATCGTATCATAGCTTCTAATTGTCTGTTGCAGATAGATAAACCGCTAAATTTATTATTTTTATTTCGTAATTTTAAATAATAATTCTGTAATATTATAGCTGCCTCTTTAGTCAATTTTGGTTTAACATATTGTCGTGCATATGCGATATATTTTCTAAGAATTGATTGCGGAATGATATTCGGATTTTCTTCTACGGAAAGTCTAAGTTTATCTCTAAAAATTTTTTTAAATAAATAAATTTTAATGAATAATAAGTTAATTAATATATTTTTAATTACCTTAATGAAAGTTTGGTTGTATCTGGTGCATTTGTACATTGATATGTATTACTTTGTGTTTTATCAATTGTATTTATATCAGCATGGATGGACATAACGTGTTTACATAATAAATCGTCTATATGCTATTATGAACAAAAAAATATAATATTAAATATACAATCACTAAAAGTATTTATTTATATGTTATTATGTATTAAATATTTATACTTTATTTGGCTCATCCAATAATAAAAATATTAAATCAAAACGGGACAAGAGAGGTGCGCTCATTTTTAAGTTTTGCATTACTGTCTTATTTCGATTAAATCGACCACCAATTGGATTAGCAGCTGCAAGAATGGATGTTCTCGTAGGAAGGGAGCATATTATTCCTGATTTAGCAATGCTTACACTTTGCTGTTCCATAGCTTCTAATAAAACCTATAATTCAAATAATTTGTTACATTATCATGAAATAATAAATCATCAAAAATATGTTGTTAATTTTATAAAAATATAAAATTAAAAATTCTTTATTAATTTAATTATTTAAATATTTTTTTTAAATAGCTTTACCGCATGTTGTTTACACATTTTATCAAATTCATCAATACAACAACATCCTCTATCTGTTAAAACTAATGCTCCAGGTTCTAAACTAAAATTATTACTCTTATTTTCTTTCGCTAATGTTATTGTCAAACCGGATGATGTACTTGAATTTCCGCATACATATACACCTTTAAAAATCATGTTATAAATTCTTTGAAAATATGTCTGTATGTTAAATAAAAAATTTTTCATCTATTTGTTATACCTTTTGCGGCAATTCGTGCACAGGCTTGTAACATTTGTGATTTTCCAAGGCCAGGATCACCAACGACTAATATATGAATATTTTCTCGTAATTCGAAATGTTCTACATTCCCACCAAATAAACTCAATATTAATCCAGCCTTGACAATTTCATGACCATATATACTTGGACATAAAGAATGTACCAAAAGTGGAAAAATATTTGGTGTATTATATACTTCCTATTAAAATTGATAAAAACATAAATATTTTTAAACAATATGAATTATTCAAATTATTATAAGATATATTAATAATTTTGTATACCTTTATTGCTAAATAATCCTTTATTGACATTTCATTATTTGTAAAATTTTTATTTTGAAGTCTCTGTTTATTATTAATTATTGTAATAGCTTCCATATATAAAGAAAATGACATTTTATTTCGAATCTTAGTATTATTAGTACCCTACATATGTAATATAATATATCATGTTATTTCAAAAATTTTAATATACAAATTAAAATATAAAATATATGTATTTTTTTTAATAAAAAAAAAATAAATTTTAATAAATTTTTAATAAATTCAATTAATTGTCATTTAATAATAACGAAAAAAACATTTAAAAATAAAAATATAAATTATATATAATTATATATAATATATATATCTTAAAAATATATCTTAAAAATAAAAATATAAATAGAAATAAAAATTTAATTGTTGAAGTCATTCTTAAAAAATTTCAAGATTATCGATATTTTTTTAAGCAAGCAAGTATATTGATGTATATTTTGAATATTAAAATGTTATTATATCAATAAAAGTAATATACAAAAATTAAATTTATTTAAATTTGAAAAAGTTTAATGATGATTTCTTATAAAATCCATATGCCTGTTGATTGCTTATAAAAATGCTAATTTTTTGAATTAATGAGTGTCGCGATCCTCCTTCCATACGCCCTTGAAACATCTTTCTTTAATGAAGGTGAGGCTTGTATCTGAACTGACGTAAGATATTCGGAATTTTTTGAAAAGGTCACAGATTACAGACAAGATTTTTCAATTATAAAAATCAGAAATTTTGATAAATCATATCGCTACTAATCGTTTCTAAATTATCTTTATCAATTTTATAATGTTTTCGATTATTATAAAAAAATTAAAATAAAAATTCTAAAGGTGTGATAATTAATGTGTCTAATATTATTCTAATAAATTTTTATTCAAAAATGATCTTCGCGATTGCGTTATAAATATAATGTTTTTTGTGTTCTTTTGTATGTTTTAAAATTAATTGCTTAAAAAAAAAGGAAATTGCAAAATAATATGCGTAATTTCGAGATTTATTATATTATTTATTATATTAAATTAAATTAAAAAATGTTCTAAATTTCTCTTGAAATTTTTATTAATACTTAATTCTTTTATTTAAAAATATTTTACTCTATTAATAGAAATGAAGATATAAAATATATATATTCTTTTATATATTAAAATTAATTAATATTAATTCATTATCTAGCATTATATAAACACAGATGAAAAATTAAACTTATTTAATCGATTAGTTCTCATAAATTCGAATAATATGTAGTGAACAAAGTATATGTGAATAAACATTCGTTTGTTTAATTGTCATGCGTATATTCTCAATATCCAATAATAATAATTAATTTGTTTCTAAAGAATAATTCATGCATATTCAGAATTATCCATTGTGATGATTACAAATATTTATTATATATGTATACATTTACTGTTTATACATGTAAATATAAAATATATGAAATATTTTTAAATGAATTAAATTCACAATCATCTTCATTTTTTCTCGAAATCTTGCAATTCTACGCTGTGGAAAAAAACTTTTGACATAAATTTTATTTATTTATAGTAATTTTTAATTTTTAATTTTTTTAATTTTTAATTTTTTTTAATTTTTAATTTTTTAATTTTATTTATAGATTATTTAAAGATTATAAGAGAAATAGAATAAAAAAAATGGAATTACAATTAAAGAAATTTTTTCTGATATAATTTTAAGAATAAATAAAGTAATTATTTCACTTTATTTTACAATTATATATTAATATTTTATTTTTATTATTATATTTATTATTTATAATTTATTACATATATTTTATTACTTTATAATTTACTATATATTACCTTATATTTACCTTTATAATTCCTGTTAAAGTAATATCATCTCCAGGCATACAAGTATTAACTAAGTCATCCATTAATTCGATATCAACCATTCTAGGCATATTACCTTTACTATTCTAATGGAAAAAAAATCATATAATACATCATATAATGTGTAATGTATATAAAATATATTACTAAAGATGTTCGATTTATTTTTACTTATAATTTATAATTTATAATTTATAATATAAAATATATTATATATAGTATATAATTTATAATATATAATATATATAATATAATTTATAATTTTTTAATTTATTATAAAAATAAAAACCTGATCATTATTTGAAATCTCTTGTATTTTAATTGTTTGAAATGGAATGCTTTTTATCAATGGTGAATCTAATATTGCACGAAATTTAGATACGCCACATAGATTACATTTTTTCGGAATTGTGAAGACTCCCAGTGGCTGTTTCATTATTTTTTGCAAATTACATTTACGACAAGCAAATGCTATCCATTGTGCAAGATGCTTTATATGACCTACTCTAATTACACAACCTCTAACAGATACTAATCTTCCTGTTAATTAATTACATAAAAACAAATAAAATTAATTACATAAAAACAAAAATTATTTCTTATAAATATTATGTACATACCATAAGAATTTGCTTTCAAATCTTGCAAACTTATAATTGGTTCATAATTTAATATTTTTATTCTAACATTGGATAATATATTTATAATATTTACAGAACTCAAATTTTCTCGTGGTATTGTATTTAAAATTTGCTAAAAATATTAAAATTTAATATTTCGTAAATAAATATATAAAAAAGTTATATCAATATACCTGATGTATAGTGAGTTTAAAACAATTTAAGGTATGTAATGGATTTTCATATATATCTTTCTTGAAGTCAGACCATTCATTTAAAAAATTTTGATCATTGTATAATTCACACATATCAATAATAAATACCGTTCCATTTTCTAAATTTTCTAACGAAAGTAATGTTAATAATCGTTGATGTCTATTTATAAAATTTTCTACTGTTTGAATTTTTTTAATAGTATCCGAATCATCCTTATATTCTAAATAATCAATTATTTTTTCAAAATTATGTCATTTTTTAATTAATTATTATATGTATATTGTATATTGTATAATTAATTATTATATGTATATGATATCAAATTTATTTAATAGTAATTATTTAATAATAGAAGTTACCTTCATCATAAAAAAATAATTTCCATCCATAATAAGGAATATTGAAATTTACATAATTATTATGAATATTAATTAAATTATGTATTTCAATAGGATCTAAAGATTTACATATTTTTTCAGTGTTTTGATTATTTTTGTAATCTGTAAATTATTTATTTTACATGTTAAAAAAAATTTAATATTTTACATGTTAAATAAAAATTTGATTTGATCCATCAATTTATAAAATTAATTAGAATATAATAATATAATAAATTTTTTTATATATAATTAATATTTAAAATATAAAAATTAAATAAATAAAAATATCAATATATAATTGTAATTTTATTATATAAATTTAATATAAATTATCATATGTAACATCATAAAAATTTATTATATAACATCATAAAAAATTAATATATAATTTTACATTAATAATACATGAATTCATCAATACACATATATATTGTACATATACATATGTATATTCTTAATTTTTATTAATTTTTTCAATTATGTATATTTTCTAGTTACACTATTTACGCAATTTGCATGAAAAATTAAAATAAAATTAAAATAAAAATTATTCTTAAAAAATATTATTATATATTAATAAAATTTTTATAAATTTTTATGAAAATATAAAAAATATAAAATCAGATATAAAATCAGTTTTTTATAAGAATTTCAATTTTTATTTAAATGAATGAGAATTATTTTTTCGTAATATTTAAATATTGACTGACGATATTTTCATTTTATTTATAATTAAAAAAAAAATACATTGATATTTTCAAATTAAAGTATTGTGTAAAGATATTATTGAAATAATATGAAATAAAATAAAATGTTTAAAATTATTGTAATTATTATATATTTTAAATAATTTTTTTAAAAATTAAAAAAAAATTGTGAGAAGAAAAGAAATAATTTTTAAAAAAATATGTATAAATAAAATATATATATAAATAAAAAAATAAATAATTTACCACAACGATGTCGCACTTTTGCAATATTTATAATTTTAGAATCTATGCGAATTAAATATTAGAATTTAAGAAAATATATAATATAATAATTTAAAAAATTTAAAAAAAATTGTGTATTATAACACGATAAGAATATTTTTATATTACAAAGATAATTTTATAAATAATATAAAAAAGTAATTAAAAAAAATTTCAAAGTTAAAAAAAAAAAGTTCATATACTTAATTTAAAATGATTTTAAATTATAAATTAATAAACTTACCTTAAAATATTTTATTAAATATAAAAAAAAAACTTATTATTAAAAAGAAAAGACCTTTATCTCTTTTTTCTATATAATAAAAATAATTTTATGTAAAATATCTAATAAAACTGTATAAAATTATACAGTTTTATTAAATATTTTATATAGTTGAAAATACTTTTTTTATTTTTCCCAATACTTCAAATTTTATATTTTAAATATCAATAAAAAAACATTATTTATATAAAAAAAAAAAAGATTTATTAATTTTTAAATTAATTAAAATAAATAACATCTTACTGTTAGATTTTGTTGATTTCTTTTTATCGAAATACCATTTGTTTTTATAAAAATTTTTTGATTTCTTATTCTCCATAATTATAAATATAACAAATATATTCGTAAAAAACTATTCATTACAAAATACCTAGATATGTTTTCAATTTTTATTATAATGTCATTAATTGATAACTTAATATTAACACAATATATGATTTATTTCACTTTCAAAATTTATTATTATATAATATATAAATAGGAAACGATTAATATTATTTTTACTATTTTCATTAATTGTTTATAAAACACTTTATAAAATAATTTTAATAGAAGTTAGGTTAAGCAAATATCTCTCTAGAAATATTTCTCACTAAAATTTAGATACTTATTACTTAGTTATTTATTTATTTCATTCGATAAGTCGTATCCACAAATATAAATAAAATCACGGATCAAAATCTAGGGAAATTAAATCGATTTACGAATTGTTATTGAACCTGATTTTTCTAGAATTTAGTCACGTGATTTTATTTACATCCTATCGTTCAATAGTTCGATAAGATATATATTTAATAATAACAAAACAATTGTTTCTCTAGTTACAAATACTCTTTTAATCTTATTATAATTTAAATATTTCTATAAAGAAATCTTGTAATTAATTAGTAAAATAAAAGTATATGACGGTAATAAATATTGTGTTCAATTATTTATATTTCATATATTAGTAAATTTTGAAAATAAAGCATATATTGTATTAATATTAAGTTATCAATTAATGAAATTTTTATAGAAATTAATAAGAAAATATTTTGATATTTATTAAATGAAATCCAAAAATTTTAACAAATATTTCTTTATTTATGATATACATATATAACTTATATAATATTCATTGCATAAAAAAAAATGAAAAAAAAATTTTTTCCTTGTTAAACATCAAATGATTAATATATTAAAAAACAAAAAAATAAAAATTGTTTAAATCTAAAAAAAATTATTATTTCAGCATTATAATTTGATTTTAATTTATAAATATCTTAAATATGGATAGATATATAATCACAGGAAAAATTGGAAAAGGAGCACAAGGTGTTGTTTTAAAAGCACATGATTTGGAAACAGAAAAAAATGTTGCATTAAAAAAATTATTCTTAAAAAATATTGACAATGGTATATCTACATCTATTATTAGAGAAATAAAAATTTTGCAACAATTAAAACATCTCAATGTATGTTTATTTTAATTATTACGTATTGTTAATAAACTCTGTTGTATAATGTATTCATTAATTTATTAGTATTTTTTTAAAGAAAAAATTTTTTTATTAATATAGAAATAAGAAAATTATAAAAAAAGATTTATTTATTACAGATTATAGAGTTATTAGATGCTTTTCCTGCTGGTTTAGATTTTATAATGGTCTTTGAATATATGCCAACAGGATTATGGGAAATAATAAAAGATAATGATATATTATTAACTCCAGTTCAAATAAAAATTTATATAAAGATGATTTTAGAGGGCATTGCATATATACATGGAAAAAATATAATACATAGAGTAAATAATAAATATTATTATAATATATATATTATAATAATATTATAATATTTATATAATATAATATAATATTATATAAATTAAAATAATTAGAATTTTCTTTTTTATATTTAAAATCCTATTAAATTATAATAAAAAAATATTAAAATATTTTTAGGATCTAAAACCTGCTAATTTATTAATAAATGAGAAAGGTATTCTAAAAATTGCTGATTTTGGTTTAGGGAGATTGTTGTGGAAAAATGTAACAAAGCCATATTCACATCAAATTGCCACTAGATGGTACAGAGCACCTGAATTATTATATGGTGCACGATATTATACGTCAGCTATTGATATGTGGTCTATTGGTTGCATTTTTGGTGAATTACTTAATAAATCTCCATTATTTCCTGTAAGATGTAAAGTATTTCTATATTCTATTTTTTCTATTATATTTTAACATTTTTAAGATTAAATTAATTAATGTTAAACTCACAGGGTGAAACAGATATTGAGCAGTTAGCAATTGTTTTAAAATATTTAGGTTCACCTACATCAGAAACCTGGCCAGATTTAAGTATATTACCTGATTATAACAAAATTACATTTCCATATCATAAAGGAATAACTTGGGAAAAAATTATTGAAGATTCTGAACCAGAAGCTATTGATTTAATTAGTAAAATACTTATTTATAATTCATCAAAACGCTTATCAGCTAGTGAAGTATGTTATATTAAAATAATTATAATAAAATATAATATAATTATATAATTATATATATAATATAATATAATATAATTATAATTAAAATAAAATAACTAGTAATTAAAATATATAATAATAATTAAAAATTTTTTTATTTCAGGCACTACGTCATATATATTTTCATGTCAAACCTTATACTTCTTCAAAATATTTGATAAAACCACAAACTAATCATCGTTATCAAATAAGACAAAAAGAAATTAATACAAATATCCAACCTACTATACTATTTAAAAATCTATTAAATATCACAATAAATATTTAATTTAATAAAAAATGTATAGAAATACATATTATATATAAATAAAAATCTAAAAGAAAAGCTAAGTTTCACTATATTTTATATATGCATTGTAAAACAATGATATATTTACAAATAAATTTACAAGTTTTTATAACTTTTAAATTAACATATAACAATATAAATATTTTTAACTACAAATTACTAACAAATTAATATAAAAATATAAATATAAACAAAAAAATATGTTTATTATAAATAATTGTTTCTTATTTTATTTATTTTTATAAAATGCAAGAAATCTTTTAAAAACGTCACTATTATAATCTTTAAGACAAGGCTGTCCTTTTTCATATTGAGCTTCTTCATATAATTTTATTGATGGTTCTGACCACCAAAAATTTTTTATTCCTTCTTTACCATCAATATCTAAGGTATTAAGTTGATATACAGAGAAGTGAAAGTTTTGTCCATCTGACTGAACACATTGCACAACAATAGGTTCAGGTAATTTTTTCACATTTAATCCAAATCTTTGTTGCGCACAAGTTGCTGCTACAGTAAATGATTTTATCATAGAACGTGCATGAATTTGATCTTCCGTGACTGGCATTTCAGTTAAATTTCTAACTTCCTCTGGATTATTATTTATAAAAATAGTATGAACATTCATAAATGGCGATTCCATAATAATTGCTATAATATTAATATATATTTTTAAATTTTCTAATTATAATGTAGAAATATTATATCAAATTTCTACTTACGATATAGATTTTCATTATTAAAAATATCTAATTTAGATAAACCAATAGTATAATGTAATGGATAAATATCAGGTAAATCAAATTCATTATTCATATTTACATCTTCTATTGGTGTCAAAGGTATTAAAGATGTCATCATTATATCCATTTTTAAAGAAAATTTTATGAAATAATTTTCTTTTTCTAAAAGATAAGTTATCAATAAACGATTATTATATTACTAGAGTATTATATTAAAAATAATAAATATATTAGAGATATATTAAAATAATTAGAAATAAAATATATAAATATATTAGAAGTAATAATATATATATACTAAAATATGCAAAATTTTCCTAAATTTTTATTAAAGTTTTAAATACTAAAATTGAAAATTATATAATAATATATAAATATGAATGTTTCAATATATAAAAATATAATATTTCTTAACAAATAATATAATAATCTTAACAAATTAATGTTATTTATTTCTTTAATAATTCACATACCTAAACACATAGATAAAAGTCCATCATGCGTTATTGATTTGTTTTGTGCATCATTTAATCCACATAATGATTCACAAAGTTGTAAAAACTTTTTTGATAAATTATGCCTACAATATACATATCACTTTAAAATTAAAATTAGAAAAATATAAAGTCAATATAATTATATAAAAATTTATTATTATTTTATATTATTGATTTATATTATTAATATAATATATATATATTATTGTTATATATAAATATTGATTATTAATATAATATTATATATATATATTATGTATATGTATATTATTGTGTATATATATATATATATATATATATATATATATACAAAGATTTGGATTAAATATGAAAAAATTACCTGAACCTATTGTTATGCAATGTGTTCAGTCAAATAGACAAAATTTTCATCTCTTTGTATATCAACTTAATATCTTAGATATTTATATTATATATTATATTAATTATATTATAATATATATATTATATATATATCATTATATATTATATATTATATTATATTAATAACCATAATTATATATAATAAAAATTAATTGATATTTACATTTTTCTTGTTGTAGTTACACCATATACTCTTGGAAATACCCAAGCAGGTCGATCAGGATCCTTTAATCGTGGTAATTTTATTTGCTGTGTATCATATATTACAGATGTATAAACAAATCTGAATAAAATGATTTTTAAAATGAATTAGCATTTATACATATCAATTATATTAATTTTAATAAAATTATAAAGCAATGTTATATGTTTAATATAATTTTTATATAATACCTTTTTAATAAATTATTTATATTATCTGGAATTTCAGTAATTAAATTTTGTATTTTTTTTGGCAATTCATCATCAATTTTTAATGTTTTTGTTAATAAACATGCTTGTGGCACTCCTTCTTGTAAAACATTATGATCTTCAAATATCAAATAATTTGTATCTTTCAATTCAAGATTTATATTATTGAATTTAATTGAATTTTCAATTCTAATATAAAAAAAATAAATAACATTATTTATAATTAATATTATTTATAAAGTTTTATTAATTTCATTATTAAAAATTAAAAAAGCATTTATAAACTTCAAATAAGGTTATTAAATTTATTTGTTTTTTATTATAAGAATTAATAAATAAATATTAAAACTATTAATATTAAAGCTATAATATAAAATAAGAAAAGAATATTACATTTTGTGTTTATATTGATTTTGTTTTAATATAAATTTTGTAGCATCTTCAATTGGAAAATTCATAGATCTTAAAATATTTTCTGTTTTAGTCATTAATATAGATCTCTCTCGTTGATGCTGCCATAAATATCTTACTGCTTTACCTATATGATGTTTATATAAAAATTGTGTGAATTTCATTATAATTTACCTAAAAAAAGAATTTAATTAAATAATTAAAATTCTATTCTTTAAAAATATTTTACATTACTTTTTTATATCATTTATCTTACTAATATTGTTATTAGGTTAAGTAACACTATTATTTTTCTAAGATAAAAAATATGTAGTATTATATTATAACTATTCTTATAAGTATATATATAGTATCATTTATATTATAAGTATTATATTATATATTATATATAAAAGTATATATAACACTATATATTATAAGTATATATATATATAGTATCACTATATATTATAAGTATATATATATATAGTATTCAAAATCTCTTCAATTAAAAAATATTAATTTTAAATTTATATTAATTAAATTTTAATTATTTTTATATATGATAATATTTACTTCAATAAATTTTGATACAGTTAATATGACATATTATACAATATTCTACACAAATTACATATGAAAATTCTAATTCTAATAAGAATTAATATCAATAAAATATATATATATTATAAATATCAGATTATCAAATAAATAATTTTAGAAAGATCAATTTTTTAAAAAAAAGTAAAATATATATTACTACAATACTATAAGACTCTCAATACTAGCAAAAGCGATGTTGCCAAGTTAATTATCATAGCTTATATTTAAATAAATCATGATAAAAAAAAATTAATATTTTAATATTGCAGAATATAAAATACAAACAGATATCTTAATATCTTAATTCTTTTTGTATATATTATGTATTCTTTTTTTTATCAGTTTTCAATAATTTAATAATAAATATTATTATAAAATTAATATTATTAAAATCTGTTATTAAATATTAATTAACTTAAATAATTTAATATTACAAGCAATTTTGTTAATATTAATACAAATATCCATTTTATTTTTATTTCAATAAAAATTTTAATGATATAACAAAATTAATATATTATATAGTAATAATAAGTTTTTAGTCATAATATATATAAGAATATATAATTTTAATTATATATTATTTTATTTATATATTATTAAATATTTTAATTTAATAGTAAATAAATATTTTAATTTTATGAAAAATCATATTAATGTTATATATAAAAAATCATATTAAAATCATAAAATTTATATTTTATATTTATATCTAGGGAAGTAAAAATAGAGTCTTAATATAGTTAGCATTTTCTGTGAGATAAATACATAACATATGCGCGCGCATACATCCTATGCTTTTATAGTGATTTGCATATTATAAAAGGTTCCTACCTTTGATGTGTGAAAAGATGGTGACCTACTGATAACGAAGTTCTGTGATAAAAATTGTGAATGTTGAAGAACTTTTATCGTATAAACATTAATAGCCTTAAAAATAGGCAATGTATTGGAGTTGGATACATTTTCAAGAATTCATAATAAATACATCTGTATGTATTATGTAATTATTTGAATATTTTAATTCCATCATTTAGAAAGAGAATATCAATAGCAATAGTGTTTTTAGTACATGAAAGCCATCAACTTTTTTAAACCGTATTGCTTTATACAGTATTGTAATGTATGTATTTATCATTAATTGATTATATTAAATATTAAACATAAGTTTACTTTTTTATGTAATTTTGCTTTATTATTATACAAAATATTATAATGTCTGAAATAATTTTTTATTTCGTTTATTTATACAATGATGTAATATAATTTAATTACTAATCTAGCTTAAATATTTCTTTTGTTTTACCATAGTGATAATTGTTTTTCAGAATATTTTTTAATTATTTTATATAATTTTATAATTTTTATTAATAGATGTATGTATACAATACAATAAAAGTATTTTTGTTTAACTCAATTCATTAAGATTATTTAAAACTTCATTTCAGATGAAATTTATATATAAATAGTAAAAAAATTATGAATTTTCAAAAAATATATTAAATTTTACTAAATTGTATACAATGTCTCATTGTGACGAAGAAGTGGCATCATCTGGTTTTCACCAATTGAGTATTACAAGTAAGTTTTAATTTATTTTTAAAATACATATAAATTTCATGTCATTATTATTATTATATATTATATATATGTATATATATATATATATATATATATATATATATATATATATACATATATGATATACATATGATATATGAATCAATATTTAAATTTATAACTATTATTCCATTTATTTTGACAAATATAACATATTATTTAATAAATAAATATTAAATATAATAACTATTAGAAAAATAAATAGATAATATTATTATTATATGCAAATAATATATAATATTAAGATAACAATTAATTATTTTAGTTGAAGGTGCTATATTAAGAAGTTCTACATTTTTAAAGCCTAATCCTTATATAGAATTTTCTGTTGATGATAAAAGTCCTCGAAAAACAGAAGTTTCGAAATCTACATATCAACCAAAATGGAACGAGGAATTTACAATACTTGTAACTCCACATTCACAATTACATTTTCGATTATTAGATCATAGTACTTTCCGAAAAGATACTTTAATAGGAGAAAAAAAAATAAGTCTTTCTCAAGTATTATCTCATTATAATGGAAAATTAGAAAATATGGAAGTAACGTTTGACTTAATGAGTGAAAATAAACATGATTCTCAATTATGTAAAGTTGGAGAATTAATAACAGTATTTGATGGATTAAGAATCAATATGCCAAATACATCATCAAGCATTAATGAATCACCATCATGTCAAACACAATCTGCCTGCATAACTTTTGATGGTAAGAAATTAAGATTAGGTATTTAATTTTTTATAATTTTGATATATTTTATATATAAATAATATAAAACTGTTTTCAATTTAAAATTACAAACAATATTTTAGGTGTTTCAAATAATGATGCTATTAGTAATAGTAGCATTCTTAATGGAGGGATTCGAGCACGTATGAGATTACATGAAGCTAAACATGTTGCATCATCTAATTTTCATGGAACATTGTCAAATATTTATCAAAACTCTACTTATAATAGTGGAAGTGAGCAAACTAATACTAATAAAAATAATGAACAAATTGAACCTGTTGCATCAAATTCTTTATCAAATGGACATGTAATATCGCCTGCAGATAAATCTATTGTATCTTTATCAGGACGTTTTGCCGCATCTTTGCCAGATCGTCAAACGTCTCGAATAGAGCATGTATCAACATCTGGTATAGATGGTATAAGAGTTGGTTCATGTACAGAACAATTTCCAAAAGTTTCTGCCTCAGAAAGTCGTAATATTTCCCAAATTGAACAATCAACAATATTGTCTGGAACAGTTGGAATATCTAGATCAGATCAATTAACTACTAATACAGACATATGTTCACATAATAGAACAGAACAATCTCTTTCTAATGAACGTAACATTCGAACAGAACAATCAGTAACTAGTTCTCTTTCAGATAGTTATGGAAATATGAGAACAGATCAGGATACTTCTTTAATGGATGGATTTATAGTTTCTAGAGTAGATCAATTTAGAAATCCTGTTTTAACTGATAATCAAGGACATTCTCAAACAGAGCAATCTGTAGTATTTACTTTACCAGATGGTTCTCATTTAGAACAACCTACAGTGTTTCTTATGACAGATAATCGTGGAATAACACGTTCAGATCAATCTTCAATATTATCCACGAGTGAAGCACGTAGAACTACTCATAATGAACAATATACAAATCCTACAACTATACGGTCAAATCCTCGAGTAGTACAACGGGTAGCTTCATTGTCAGGATCAACTAACATGCTGCCTGGACAGTCAACTCAATCTGGATCTTCAATTGTACTTGCTGAAATTGATCCCACAAATCATTCTGAAGAGCCATTACCTCCTGGTTGGGAAATGAGATATGATATTTATGGAAGAAGGTTATTTATTTTAAAAAAATAATTTAATTTTTACATTTTTCTTAAGAAATGTATAAAATATATATATATTTTTAATACTTTATTTTTATTATTATTTTTAATTAGGTATTATGTTGATCATAAGACACGAAGTACTTCTTGGGAAAGACCACAACCTTTACCACCAGGTTGGGAAGTTCGTAGAGATCCCAGAGGCAGAATTTATTATGTAGATCATAATACAAGAACAACAACATGGCAAAGACCAAATACAGAAAGATTACAACATTTTCAGCATTGGCAAGGTGAAAGACAGCATGTGGTACAACAAGGAAACCAACGATTTCTCTATCCTCAAGTAAGTAATAAATAATTATAATATAATAATTTTATTTATATTTATATTTCATTTCTAGTTTTTAAATATAAATATTTAACATCCTAGTTTAGAAATTTAATATATATTTACAGGCACATGGAAATCAAACTGTTATAGCAGGATCCTCAACATCATCTATGGTTGATGATGATGATACTCTAGGACCATTACCTGCTGGGTGGGAAAGACGTAAACAGCCAGAAGGAAGAATTTATTATGTAAATCATAAAAATCGTACAACACAATGGGAAGATCCAAGAACGCAAGGACAAGAAACTGGAATTGATGAACCACCATTACCAGATGGCTGGGAAATACGATTAACTGAAGATGGAGTTCGATATTTTGTAGATCATAATACGAGGACAACTACATTTCAAGATCCAAGACCTGGTGCACCTAAAGGGTTTGTATATTTTCTTTTAAATCATTCTTAAATATTTCTTTTTTTTCTTATGCTACTTATTATTATCTCGTTATTTAGTCCAAAAGGTGTTTATCGTGTACCAAGAGCATATGAAAGATCATTTCGATGGAAATTATCACAATTTCGCTTTTTATGTCAGACCAATGCATTACCGAATCATATAAAAATTAGTGTTAATCGACAAACATTGTTTGAAGATTCCTATCATCAGATAATGAATGCTGAAGCTTTTGCACTAAGACGCAGATTATATATAATATTTAAAGGAGAAGAAGGTTTAGATTATGGAGGTGTATCAAGGTAAGAATTAATTATTTTAATTAAAAATTATTTTAAAAAAATAAAAATGAATTAAATATTAATTTTGATTTTAGAGAATGGTTTTTCTTATTAAGTCATGAAGTGTTAAATCCAATGTATTGTTTATTTGAATATGCCAATAAGAGTAATTATAGTTTACAAATTAATCCAGCATCTTATGTTAATCCTGATCATTTACAATATTTCAAATTTATTGGAAGATTTATAGCAATGGTATGATAATTTTTTATTTTCTTCATAATATATTTTTAATAAAATCAATAAAATTAATATATATTTTTATATAAAGGCTCTTTATCATGGACGTTTTATCTATAGTGGATTCACTATGCCATTTTATAAACGTATGTTAAATAAAAAATTAATTATGAAAGATATAGAATCTATTGATCCAGAATTCTATAAATCTCTTGTATGGATAAAAGAAAACAATATTGATGAATGTGGCCTCGAATTGTATTATAGTGTAGATTTTGAAATTCTTGGCCAAGTAATACATCATGAATTAAAAGAAGGTGGTGACAAAATTAGAGTTATTGAAGAAAATAAAGAAGAATATATTAGGTATAACAAACATTAAATTAAAATTTTGTATGTTAAAGAATAATTTATTTATTAATTTCTATTATATAAGGTTAATGACAGAATGGAGAATGACAAGAGGTATAGAGGACCAAACTAAAGCATTTTTAGAAGGTTTTAATTCTGTTGTACCATTAGAATGGTTAAAATATTTTGATGAGCGTGAATTAGAACTTATGCTTTGTGGTATGCAAGAAATAGATGTAGAAGATTGGCAACGCAATACAATTTATAGACATTATACACGAAATAGCAAACAAATTTTGTGGTTTTGGCAGGTTTGTTATTATATATGTAATAGATATTATATATGTAAAAAATATATATTATACATATTATATATGTAAAAAATTATTCTATATATATATATATGTCAGATTTATTATATTTATATATTTTATATTCAGTTCGTAAATAGAACAGATAGCGAAAAACGAGCTCGACTTTTACAATTTGTAACGGGTACTTGTCGAGTACCTGTTGGAGGATTTGCAGAATTAATGGGTAAATAATAAATACTAATAATTAAATGAATTTTAAATAATTTAAATTAAATTCAAATTATTTAAATTTAAAATTACATTTTTTTAGGAAGCAATGGTCCTCAAAGATTTTGTATAGAGAAAGTAGGAAAAGATACATGGTTACCTAGATCACATACATGCTTCAATAGATTGGATTTACCACCATATAAAAGTTATGATCAACTAGTAGAAAAGTTAAATTATGCAATTGAAGAAACAGAAGGTTTTGGCCAAGAATAATTAAATACTTAAATATAATATATCACTATATATGAGAAGTGATGAAAACAAGTTTAGTGTAATACAAGATTTTATGATTTGATTTATCTTGTTTATAATAACAAGATAAAATTGTTAAGTAAGAATTTTTTTTAAATTAATGAATTAAAAATGTTTGTATTAAACTTTTATAAGAAATTCTGATATTAATTTTAATTGAAAATTTATTNATGAAGTGCACAGAAAATATTTAAAAAATTGTATATATTTACAAAGTAAAACTTATACAATTAATAAATCATAGAAATAATAAAATAAAAGCAAAGATGCCAAAATAATTATCTTATAATTGATTTTTTTTAAGATTAATCTTATCTAATTTTACTTCATTATGTTTCATTAATAATTATAATGAAATAAATCATGTTTTTAATTGCTGTTTATTATTGATGCTTTCTACGATACTTAGTAATATTCCCTAATAAAAGGCTTGAAAATTATAATAAGTGCTGTACATATTAAGCTATAAATATATTGTATTTTATGTGACAAATCAATAATAACGATTTCATGTTTTGTCCTAAGAAGGTATAAAAAATTACATTAAAAACTTTATAGATAGATTAAAAAATGGAAAATAGATTTAAAAATGGTTTTTTGTATGAAACTAAATAATTTATACAATTTTTATCATATAAATTTATAAAAATATAACATAATATATGATTTTTATATTTTTAGTTGATTTTTTTATTATTTTAAATATTATAAACAAAATATTTTATTATTTGAAATATTATAAACAAAAAAAATAGTAGCTTTTGTTATAAAAATCATGTTGCAAATAATATTTGTAAATTATTAGCATTTATTATTTAATATTTGTGATAAATGAAATTCATTTGATAATAAATATCAGCATTTCTTTCTTTATTATTTCTGTAACTATTTCTATTATCATATTGTGAATCATATGATTAAAATTTTTAAAATTTTCATTACTTATAGTTATTGTATAAAATTTCATATTATTTGTTCTCATTTTTAAATATTTTATCTCTTTCAATTTAAATTTTGCTCTTTTACTTTTCTTTTGCGCATAATAAATACCTATCTTGATTTTTTCTAATTCTATAGCATTAACTTCTAAATAAAAAGTATTATATTATCAGATTTAATTAAATTTTATATAATATTTTAAATACATTATATATTTGATATAGCAATGTCATTTTTCCGAGAATCTATTATTCATTTCAAATCAATTGGGAATTTTTAATATTATAAATACTATTATTATTGAATCATTAAAGTATTTGATATTTTTTTCATAATATTTAAAATAAATTTAAATTAATTTTTTTAAATTTGAGTTTTTATATTGTTTGAAATAATAACTTAGGATTATAAACATGAAATTTATTAATATTTTTAATAATAATTTGTGTGTGTATATATATGCTCATATATGTATAAATAAATTGTAATTAATGTAAGAAATAATTAATACATTTAATAAAATGTATGCAAAAATATAAAATATATACATGTGTACACACAAATTATATTCATGAAATGTATATTTTGACAGTAATATAATAAAATATATATATATATATATATATATATATATGAAAAAATTTATAATATAAAAATCAATTTGCTTATGTATTGGTTAATTAGTTAAAAATGAATATAAATATTTGTAATATAACTTCTGTATAATGCATATTCTAAGTTTTGTAATTCAGTATATACAAAGTATGCTATAGTATAACTATATATATAACTATATATATGAAAGTATTTACTATTTTTTTCTTAAAAATATTGTATGTAAATTTTTGAATGAATATGTATTTTATTTTCTATTATTTTTATTATTTCAATATTTTTTTAAATAATAAATATCTATTATTTATTATGTATAATTTGATAGGTTTTTTTATTATAATAACTTTTATATTATTATAATAAATATTTTAAAAGATATATAAAAAATATTATAAGATAAGATAAAAAGTTTTGTAAAAAATTGTTTAGTTAAATTTAATAATTTTTTTAACTAATTTAATTTTATTTTTTATTTTTTAAATTATATTTATTAATATTTAAATTATATATTTTTTATATATTCTGGATATCAAAATTGCTCATAATTTTTTTTACGATTTAACAGATGAAAATATAAAATATAAAAACAAATTGCTTAATTTAAATATAAATTAAAGTATGAATCATGGACAATGATATTCAAATAAGGTAAGTAGAAATTACACATATTTTATCATGCCAACTAACTTCATAATGATGATTTATATATATGAATTCATATTGTGTATATATGTAGATAAAGAACAAATGATATGTAAATATTAAAGAAAGAATATCGATAATTTGTATTTATATAATATATTTATATATTATATAATTAATTATAATGTTATTATTACATTCAACAAAACAATATTTATCATAACATTTATTTATATTATACATTATAAATTAACAATTTAAATCAACTTAATAACTTAAAAGTTAAAAAATTATTTGCTATAACTTAATCTTAATTAAAAGTAATTAACTAAAATTAATTTAATTAAAATTATTAAATTAAAATATTAATCTTATGAAATATTGCATATATTATTTTTCTTGGAAAATTTGTATATAAAAAAACATATGTAGAATATAAAATACTTTTGTTTCTGCACATGAAATTAAAACATAAAAAAAAAAAGAAATTATTTTTGATATATGCATTATTAACTCATAATTATCTTACAAACACTTAAACAGATATACATATTTATACATAGAATGAATTTATATATTGAAATAATTTTATTACATATTATGTAAATTAAATTAATTTATATTTTTGTTTAACAACAATACCATACATGTTATTTATCATTATCATTTACTATATTTTTATTATAATCATTTTTACTATAGAAAATTACTATTTAAATTTTATTTAATTTTATCATAATTTTGGATTAGGTTTAAAAAATTTATCCCAAGAAAAGAAATTTAAATCACTATCGAGAAAATTACTATTTTCATTTGTTGATAATTTTTTTTTTCCAAATAAATCACCTGAAATTTATATAATTATAATTTTTTAAATAAAAATTAATTTTAATGAAATTAAAAACAATTTTTTGAAAAATTGTATAAATTTTAATATATTAATGAGCATAATACAAATATTTTTTAAATTATATTTTTTTATAAATAAGTTAATATATTTTTATAAAAAAAAAATATAATTTAGAAAATATTTTTTAATTCTGTAAATCTTATTATAAGTTATAAATACATAAATATTATTTGTCTCTTCAATGTCTCAAAATTTTGTAAATTCCGAATTTAATCATTAAAAAAAATAATTTCAATAATATGTAATTTTTTTTTTTAAATTTTTAATTAATTAAAGTATCCTAAAATTGTAATTAAAACAAATTGAAAAAAGTGTTCCAATGAACACATATCTAATCATCTAATAATATTAAAGTGATATATTTTATAATTGTTAATAAGAGTAAATATAAAAATATTAAATAAATTTTTTTATTAGAAAATATAGTTAATTGAAACAAAAATTTGTATTATTTTCCTGAATCCTTTATAAATTTATTACTTACATTCATTTACATCACAAAATTCTTCTGTTTTTATTTCTACTCCATTTTTATCTATTTTTGTGACAATAGTGTGAATTTTATCACCAATTTGCTGTGATATCATAGTTTCTTCATTTCCTTCATAATCTTTAATAATTTGTTTTTGTTCTATTGTTCCATCAGCTTTACGAATATATTCTTTCCTCATGGATTTTCCAAATATGCGAGGACGTGATATTTCAAATTTTGATTTGTCATGTTCATCCCAAATATTGGAAAAATTATCTACAGTAATCCTATTGAAATTAACAAAATTTTTTTTCAATATTTATAAATATTACATTCAATAATTTTTTAAAATAATTAAATGAATTATAATTTAACTATTTTATTAAATTTAATTACTAACTTTCCATCTAAATCTGTATCTAATTTTAATCCAGTCTGATTATTATTTGGTTTTAACATTTTATCACGTAAATTTTCTCTTTGTGAAGGAGCATTTGAAGGTCCAAATAAAAATATATTTGTATTTGCATCATTATCTAAAAAAATTTTTTAAATATTTTTATAATTATTTTTAAAATTAATATAATTAATAATTATTTTTAAAATAATATTTATAATTATATATGAATTAAAAACAATTGATATCCATTGATATCCATTATTAAATCCATACCTTCATTATGAAATCCATAAATAAAATTCATCATTATATTCTCAATTTGAGATTCAAAGTATCTTGTTATTTGTAATGGATCACTAAAGATATTAAAGTGATTATTTCTTCCAAAATATCTGTTATATATAAAGTTACAATAAAATTAATAATTTTTCATAATAAACATAAGTAAATAAAATATATAAATTATATTACATAAATTCTATTAAAATTTATTTTTCCAAAATTGCAATCATGATATTAAATTATTATTTTGTTTTTAAATTAAATAATTCAAGAAACTAATGATTTATTTACGAAAAATTTTATTTTTTTAAACATAATATATAAAATATTTATTTTATATGTATATAAATATAAGTAGATTTTTTAAGTATATATATATATATTATTATTATTATTATTATTATTTTATTATTATTTAAAGTGAAATAAAATTTTATAAATATATGTTTATGTTTTGCAATATATCTTTAATTTGCTCATATCAAAGATTTATTAATATTATATTAAAATAATACAAATAGATTTTTAAAAATACTAATTAAACAATGAACAAATAATAAATCTTTATAAAATGTAAAATAAAATTTACCTCGGATTATCATAAACATCAATTTGCCATATTGAATTTCCAAAATTGTCCCCATTATAATTATCTTCACAATCAGCAAATCTGAAATATTCAATTAAAATAAAAAAAATTGAAAAATTCAATTAAAAAAAAAATATAATATATTTGATTAAATCATAAAAAATGAATAAAACTAAGTAATATGCAATCACACAACCCACAGAATCGGATTGTAATAATGCAATCGACAATTATATATATTTATTTACACTTTTTACCTTTTATTAAATTTATCCGAATTGTTTCCGCCAAATATATTGCGGATGAAATTCCAAAACTCCATTTCTTACAACTCTAATCTCTTTACTTAATGAAAAGGAGCTTACATCATATTTTTGAATATTCTCGAACTATAGCAATGGACTGTGTTCAACAAGACAACTCACTAGATATAAATAAATTAAAAAACGTGACAATTAGGTACAATTTCAGTTATTAGTTGACGAATTATCGATATTAAAATCTTTACATATTTAAAATATGTCGATATTAACTATAATAGTATTATTTATTTTATTTTAATAAAGATAAATTATATTTGTGAACTTTTTTCTCGAATTATTTATCGAATCAAAAGATCATACTTTTTCTTGTCTAAATTTAGAATATATATTAAAATATGTACTTAATATTTATTAAATATTTTATGTAAATTGAATAGTCGATTTAATTTCTCTCTACATTTTGATCATGTGACTTTATTTACATTTAGTGATTTATTTCATTGACAGAATATTATATTTTTTAATTTGAAGATAGTCATATAAGATATAAGTTATGGTTAGAATAAATTTAACAATAATATTATTTTATTTCGATAGACATTTACTATAAGTTACTATTTTCGGATTCCCGCGATTTTATAAAATATTTCATAATAATATATATAATGATAATAAATAACATAAAAAGATTATAATAGAATAATTATAAAGTAATACAATATGTATATAATACAAATTTGTTATCTATTTATAATAATTACTTGATTTATATATATATAAAACAAATTATTTAGTATAGATTAAATTAAAAAAATTAAAATTCAAATTTTTACATTTCATATTTTATTTCATCATATTTTACATTTCGTACTTTATTTTTCTTATAATTATACAGTACAATAATTTAACAAGTACATAACATTAGAGATAATATTATTCTATTATAAATTGTTTATATAATGTTATATAACATTTTTATATAAAAATTTTATAAAATAAATTAAAACTTATAATTGTATTATAATATAATTGTAATTAATATAAATTAATTATAATGTAATTATAATGTTACTTTGTAAATGATTTAGAACTTTTCTTATTTTCTTTGAATTGTTCATACTATTTATTTCATTGAATATTTATGTATTTTTTTTTATATATTAAAAATTTTATTTCATTTTGATTAACTTATATGGTTTGATTATTATGTATTTATCATTTTTTAAAGGAATATTTTAAATTTATTTTGCAATAATATTTTCTTAATTAATGTAAATATTTTAAATTCAAATTTATCTGAAATAAAGATAATTTTTTTATCATTTTAAATTACTATATAACTTACTATATATTATTATTACTTACAGTTACATTATTTATACATTATTTATAATTTTTAATAGGTTATGTATATTTTGTTTAATTTCTTTAAAAATATATTAATTATATTTCGCCAATTTTTATTATGTATGTTAAAATAGAACTCCAGATACTTGCTAGTAAAAGCGATGTTGCCAAGCTTAATATCACGATTTGTATCCAAAGAAATAGCCTATGTCTATCATATAATAATTTCATAGAAAGGTAACCATTTTGAAGTGAAATACTTTTTATAATTTGAGATTTATCAATCGCAATTTATAAATAATATTATATCATTCTTTTTATAGCAATATATAAGATACAGTAAAATTAAATCTTTTAAAGTCATCAATATATTTAATTAAATTTTTTTATCTTTCTCTCTCTCTTTTTCTTATACATACTTATATATATGTATACATATCGAATGTATATATATATATATATATATATATATATATCGAAAAATATATCATTTGCATGTAATAAATAACTATTTAAAATCAATTTAAACATCTGAATTATCACAATTTCTCAATAATATTTTATTATATAAATTTATGTAAGTCATATTTTTTAAATTTATCAAAAATTTATATATTTATATGATGTATATATATATATAACATATTTTAATTTAACATGTAACAAATCAATATAATTGTATAATATGTTTATAAAATAATTAAATGAAATTATCTTATTAAACAAATTAAAGAAGAATTACAAGATAAAAAAAGTTCTATTCTACAATTTTAATATTAGATTAAGATTTTTATAATATAAAAAAAATATATAATAAATTATATATTTTATAAATTATAAAATTATTAATAACTCTAATATACATATATTTTTTTAAAAATTTCTCATTCTTATATTAATCACTTTTGTTTTAGATGAAAAGAAACTTCAGTATGATAAAATACAAAATATATAACATAGAATTGTTTTATTAAACAAAATTAATATTTTAAAAATTAAACAATGAATAATATTTCTGGACAATTTCGAAAAACAATATGGGATCCATTTCTTATTATATCTCAAATAATTGCTATTCAAACAGTGATGTATTTTTGTCTTGGATTATGGATTTGGATTGTTGCATCATATATAGGATCCACAAAATCATTAGATTATGTTTTCCATTATAAAGAAATCCATGTTAGAGATTTTGCTGGTCAATTTATTATAATTATTTTTATTTTAAATGCATTGATTGGAGCAATTGCATTATGGTGGCTAGTACAGAGAACAAAACAATGTATGGATTTTGCATGCACAGCACATTTAATACATTTATTATGCTGTTGGGCATATAATGCAAGTTTTCCATCAACTTTTAGTTGGTGGTGTTTAAATATTATATCTTTAAGTATAATGTGTGTTTGTGGTGAATTCCTCTGTATGAAAACCGAATTGCAAGCAATACCATTAAGTATGAACAGCCAAAAAACAGCTTTGTAAAAATTTATTACCAAAGTCAAATTTTGTTTAGAAAATTTATTATTGTTCCACAAATTAGAAAGTTTAAAGTACATAAATAAAAGAGATTTTATCCTATATACATATTTCTAATATTTATTACCATAAATATACATAAAATAAATTAATAATTTACAATTTAACTATGTATATATGTATATATTGCATTTATTTAATGATCTTCTTTATAAAAGCGTAAACCACAATATCCACAAGTATGATCACCAGGTTTATCCTAAAATATGTAAAAATAAAATTATGAAATATTCTTTAATTAGTACTATAATACTATAGTAGTATAATACTATAATAATTTATACCAGATTAATATAAACTTTTGGATGTCCTAAAGGTCCACCACCTCCATCACACGCCACAATTTTTTCTTTTGCTGATGTAGGAGAAACTTCTGCTATCAATTTTATGGCCCAATTATCATTAACCTCTTTTGGTCTATTTACAAATCGTATATTGCGATAATCATCTTCATCATATATCTATTAAAAAAATAAATAATATTTATTTTATTATCAAAATAAATAATATAGGTTACAAAAAATTATACAAATAAATATAAATATTTTTTTACAATTTTAATTTTACCTGACCAGTATGAGTAATTTTTTTAGCAGATTTTGAAGTTATATCGTGTGCATTTCTCATTATTAATCCTATGGTATTAATTTTATATTTTCTATTGGAAGTTTTAAAAAATTCCATGATCTTTGTACTCGCCATTTTTTTTTGTTTTTTTTTAATTGTTCAAGATGTCGCGGCATATAAATTTTCAATCAAAAAAAAATATAGTACATATACAGGATATCTTACAAATTTGAGAATGCAAATTAATTGAAGATTCCTGAAGTAATTTTCTTTTAAAAAAATTTTTATTATAGTTTTGTTACAAATTATTAACAAAAAACATTAGCCAATCACGGAGCGTAGTTTAGACTAGACTAATCAAATCATAGTTGAATACTATCGACCAAGCACAAAATTCAAGCAATATGTATCGAAAAAAATCTTTAAATATAACAAATATTTTTTTATTAAAAAAAATTGTATCAAATTACATCTCATTTAAAAATAATAAATAAACTAATTAATTGTTATTATAAATTTAAACTCAAAAATTTAAGTTTTATATAGTTTTTATTTACGATTTTTCATATTTTAAAAAAATTTTACTATATATAAAATAAATTTATATAATTTTTAAACATAAATATACGATTAAAAATTTGTAATTTTTTCATCAAAAAAAGAATATTTATATTTATAATCATAATAACTTTTAATAAAACAAAATAATTTTAAATTTGTTACATTTAAAAAAATATATATTAAATAGGATCAAAATTATTTATTTTCTAATAAATGAAATTAATATCATTAAATGATTTAGTTTCAAAATATTTTATTTGTAGTACAATACAACTGTACAAAGACGATACATAGACCAATAAATTGATCCATTGTGATTCTTAAGCTTAATCAAATAATCCTGTAAAAAAAAAATTTATAAAGTCAAATTTTTTTTCTTTATAATACAATATAATAATTACAATATTTTTATAATATTCTCATTTTTTTAATATCATCAGACATATCAATAGCTAATACATAATAATAATCATTGAATGTAAAAATTATAAAAATCTGTAAGAATATTAATACTATATTGTTTAAAATATATTACGTACCAAAGCCCATATCATCATCTGATTCTGGTTCAGGTTCTTCTTTTTTCTTTTCTTCTTTAGCTGGTGCACTTTCTGTACTTGCAGGTGCAGCTGCTGCTGGTGCTTTAAAAAATAAATAATTTTATTATATAAAAATTCAATGTAATTATATGATCTATGTAAAACAATAATGAAATTATTATTTATCATTGTCGTATATAGAAATATTAATCATATTTTCAAATATGATTTTCAGAACTTTCTATTTCTTTTTCTATTTCCTCTTTTGCTGACCGCACTAAAATAAATGATTATATAGAACGGTGGATGAAGAGGATCTATATTTCTTTTAATAATAAATGAATAAATAAATATATGTATTTAATTAAGTATTAATTAAGTATATATGTATTTAATTTTATATATTATATAGTGAAAACATTAAAAAAAATAATAAATATATTTCATCTTAAAAAAAATTTTATATAACAAAAAAATTGAAGTAATATTAAATGTTAATATACCTGCTGCTGGTGCTTTTCCAACTCCTGATCCAATATTTGTTATAAGTTCTTTTATATTAACTCCTTCTAAAGCTTTGGCAAATAATCCTGGCCAATAAGATTCCACATCAACATTAGCAGCTTTTAAAATTGTTTGAATTTTTTCTCCCTATATTATAAAAATTGATATTTTTTGCTATTAGATATATTTTAATTATAATTATATTATATTAAAAATATATAAGTAACATATATATATATATATATATTTTTAATTTTATTAATAATAAAATAAAAATAATATTTTAATTTTCATGAGTTAAGACAAAATCAAATGATTAACTTTAATAAGATAAATAAATTGAATTTCTAAAAACTAAAATTGAGGAATTTATAAATAATCAGTTTGACTTTTAAACATTTAATTTATATTAAGAAATCAAAATCCACGAGTGATACTTACGGTTACAGCAACATCGTCATCTACAAGAATTAGTGTTGAATAAACGCAAGCAAGTTCAGCTTTCTTATTCATGTTTGTCACTTGTATAAAATATATTGAAGCTGGATGGAATGATAAAACGGTGCAAGTCGCTGATATAGCCTTAGCTCAAGAAAAGAGAACAAGCACCCGACATTCGCTTGATCCAGCTAAAAGGAAAGAGAAACGAGTTCAAAGGAAGTCACGTGATATTTTAGGGACTACTTTCAATTAATTACTAAATAAAAATAACATAATCCTATTGGTTAATTTGATAACTAAACGAAATATTTTTTAACACAAAAAATTGTATTAAAATTATTTATTATCATTAACATGTAGCATTATTATTATATATACATATAACTATTATTATCATATGTATTATAATTATTGTGTATCTGTAATATCATATTCTCATGAGAATGCAATAAAAGTATTATAATAAGTATTTGAAATAATTTTTATATCTAATGCTAATATTCGAACGATTCTATTAGTAAAATTAACAATTCTATTAATATAATTTATTAGATAAAATTTAATATTTTAAATAAATAATTTTAAGAATGATACGTGAAGTATTATTTTATATTATTGTGAATATTCATGAAAATTAGAAGAGGGCGCCACATATTGATAAATTTATTTAATAAGTAATGCTTATATACTCAACGTTCTTCGAAAAGTACAGATCGATTAGTGGATCATATACGCAATTGAGGTAGTTCAGTGTTTTTACGAACGTTAGTTGAAGTATTTTCACTTGGAAGGGTGCGTGTCAAAGTAGTAGACACACAACTGCTAATCTCGTGGTTACATTTTATTTTCACGAATATCTTAGGAAATGTACTTTTGCGGCACATTGCTATGTAGCACGTAAATGAAGCGACGGCGTATAGCGCGGTCGCATATCAAAAGAATACTACCTATAGGAACAATGAGAATGGCGCGCAAATGTTGCGTGCGTAGCTGTGAGGCTGATGTGCAAGATGCGCGTGCTAAAGGGTTACCGCTTCATAAATTTCCGAAAGATATTACTTTAAGAAACAAATGGTTAACTAGTGGTGGATTTGATGCGAATTTTAAACCTTCACCAGGTCAAGTTGTTTGTCACAGACATTTTAAACGAGCTGATTACGAAGCTGCTAAAGGACATAAATTACTTCTACGTAAAGGTAGTGTTCCGTCGGTTTTTGCAGATTATGACAATCATCCGGGTGTGTATTACTTAGTACTCGCTTTTATAACATTTATATTATTATATATATTATAACATGTTTTTATTGTTATTGTATTTTTATTCAAAAAATAATCTTCAAAGATATATAAATAATGTTATATTTAAATATTTTTATGATATGATTTAATCTTTTTCTTTAAATATAAATTTTAAAAAACGATAATATATATATCGAACAAAAAAATTAATGCTAAATTACTAATATATTGTGATCATTGAAATAAGTAAAAATTTTATATTTATAAATTTAAAAATTAGTTTTTCATAAAATTCTTTGTAATACAATTTATATATACATTTTTCTATATTTTTTATGCATAAATCTATGTGTTAATTTATTGCTCTAGAATATATTATATTACTTTAAGAATTAAAAAAAATTTTTATCATTTATAGATAATAATAATCAATATTATAATTTAATGATTTTTTCTATAATTTCATTTTTCTTTATTTATTATTAAAATATGAATATATTGATTGCTATGTGAATAGAGTATTGTAGTTTTTTCCATATAATCCAATATGATATTTCAGTATATTTTATAGATATAATTTATATTATATATAAATAAAAAAAATATATAAACATTCATTAAGATATTCATTACATTAAAAAGTTATAAAAATTCAAAGAAAATGATTTATTTATCAAATTTGCTTAATCTTATGCTATTAGATTTTCACATGTAGAAAATATATTGAAATAAAATATATAAATTGATATAAAGAATTGATAATCAATGAGTTGATATAAAAATAATCTTTTTAGAATAAATTCAATCTTAAATTATTATTTAATTATTGATTATATCATATTAATAATTAACATAATTGTCTTAAATTATAATGTCATAATGATTATAAATCTGTTATTGTTCTCATTTTATTTCATATTTTTCTTATAATTTTTCAAAAAAATTTTAAACAACTTATATTTATGTAACATTTATTTCTCATTATATTTATTTCTCAATATAAAAAATATATTGATAAAGTTGAAAAAATCTGGAATACTTTATATTAATAATAATAAATATACAATAATATAATGAATATTATATAATAATAATAAAAAATGATATGTATATATATATATATATATATATATATATTATGTATATATGATATTTGATAATAATTAAACAATAATTCTTCCATTATAAATAATAATAAAATAAATTATAAATAATTAATTAATTAATTAAGATCAGAAAATATATGTATATGTAAGATATATTTATAATTTATATTTATAATGTAATATGGAAAATATATTTTAAATTTTTAAAATTATTTAAATTTAATAACAGTATTATTTTTTGTGATTTATATTATTATATACAGTTTTATGTTTTCATAATATTCAATTATTTTATTATAATTTTTTAATATTATATTTTTTAATAATATATAATTATGTTAATAAAATAATTAGACAATGGAAATAGTAATTATTCATTGTTATTTAAATGTTTTATTTATAAAACGTTTTCTCAAGATATGCTTTATATATTAAAACTTTATATATATTTGAAAATTATTGTTGAATAAAAGTATAGAAAATATTATTTTCTTAATGTTTACAGTTATATATTGATATTTTTTTTACAGATCCTGTAATAATGTCTGTGAAATCATCAACTTCTTATGCACAAGAAGATTTAGATCTTATTAATTCTGAAATTTTGAATTTAGAACAATCTATATCTCCATTGAATTCTGGTGCCAGAACACCAAAATCTGATAGCTGTGGAGAAACATGTTCTTCTCGACCAGAATCATCAGCTGATTCCTTTAATTTATTAGATTCAACAGAATTAATTGATAATGGATGTAAAGTTTTGAGTATGAAAGA